ATTGTACAGTACAACATCCGGGCTTGGATCAAGGTTCACAGCCCGCAGCTTTTTGGATTTGTGATCCAAGGTTCACAGGATCCACAGGATCCACAGGTTGACTACAGAGCTTTTGCCTTTCAAGTCTCACTGTGGAGAGCTGCACTGCATCGAAACTGCTCAAGCTCCTCCTTTCAGAGCAGCTCTCTTTGCTTTCTGCCGCCTTTTCTTTTCAGAACGATCACACAGGTGGCAGAACAAACACATGGCTCCGTTGTTGCATCCCTTTGCATACAGGAAAGAGCATGGCTTGCAGTCACCGCTATAGTGCCCTCGGGAACCGACGCTGGGAAGCTCTGTCGATCCTGGTGCTGGCTCGTAGGGAGCTGGAACATTTGGAACGGAGGAAGCCGGAGGCCCCGGAGCCGAAGGCCCTGGAGGTGGGGGCTCCGTGGAAGCATAGCATGGCTCCCCGTAAGGCTCCACATAATGTGGCTCCACATTCTGAGCATAGCATGGCCATTGGAGGTCCACATTCTGAGGATTTGCATTTTGATCTAGAGCCTGTGAATCATCAAATCTCAGTGCATTTTCAAGGCAAATCACTGGCTTGCCTGCCAGCTCATGCACTGCATGCACCTTGTCCTCCTGGATGTCTTTCTGAATGTCCTTTTGCATTGGTCCAATGTCGAAAGAAAAGTCCTGGAACGCCTTGTGGAGTACACCGATTTGAGAAGCTGGACATGACACGGCTGCCCGGGAGTTCCAAACATCTTCGGAGAGTGGGCTTGCCACATGAATGAAGGTGTTCCGGACTTGTACAGCTTCGGGAGGATAAAGATTCAAATCCTTACCGTTCGGGAGTTCGGGTCTGCAGTGCGTTGACAATTCACAATACAAACACATTGAAGATCTTTGCATTTAAACCATTTAAACCAGAAATCAAACAGTTCTTTTCACACAAAGGGCGAACTGAGGCTGTGGCGGGTTCTTCCTCAGGAACAGTAATGGCTAAACCAGGGAATTGCTTTGCACCACGTGCGGCATCCACACGTCCGGAAGACATGATCTTCGATGATCAAAGCTCTTCGATTTAAATCCCTTTTGGGTAAAGTCTGTTCTGCTTGAGGCAAAAGAATCGACAGGGTTTGGAAATGTCTCGCAAAATGTTTGAATCTTGTGGTCCACTTATGATGTGCACCTTGATCACAATGCATTGGCAACAATTCTTCACAAGAGAAAATCGCTGACGGCGTGACATTCCCATCTTTTCGATCCCTGGATGCTTGTTTGTCTGCTTGTGCTGAGCACAGTGATTTCGCACAAACTCCAGAGGTGAAACCGGTCTGCCGATGGAACGGAGGATGTATCGCTACTTTTTGGGTGGTTTGTATATGTTTTATGTGCGTGAAAGGATAGCTGGGATGGCAGGTGAAACGCAGGATCATTGGCTTTCAACTGTGGAGCCAACTTACCACACTATCACTGCAGGGCAACCTCAAGGTCACTAAAAACGGGAACCAGTGCGCATGCATGCCTGCGTGTCGGTGTTAGCAGCACAAGTGTATACCCTTGTGCAATGCAAAGGTGTTTGCACATCGTCACTTTGAATGAACTGCGGCAACTGAGTTCTGGGCCATTTCTGCATATTCATTATCTGCCGGGCCTTCAAAACCAAATGGCATGTTGGATGTGAAGTTTTTCAAGCCTACCACAACAACGAACCAAAAAACATGTTGTTAATGACAGTAACAATAATGACAACAATAATGAAAACAATAAGGATACATACTGATACACTGATACAGTAACAATAAAAAATAATGATAATCATGACAATTTTAGTAAGAATAATGATGATGGTAATCTCCATAATGACAGGCATTACTCATAGCACGAATGATACCAAGATATAGCGCCGCAAAAGGCCGTGTCAGAAGTTTCAATATAGTAAACATAAAGGAGAGGTGAGTTGTTGTGATGCACGGAAGGCGGAACTTATTAAGGTTCTGACTCTCTCTCTGGCTTCTGGCTCTCTCTCTCTCTCTCTCGCTCTCTCTCTCTCTCTATCTCTCTATCTCTCTATCTCTCTCTCTCTCTCTCTATCTCTCTCTCTCTCTAGCCTCTATTTCTCTCGAGCTCTCGATCTCTCGGCTCTATTTCTCTATTTCTCTAAAGGAAGCCTCTCTCTAATCTAATCTAATCTCATCTAATCTAATCTCATCTAATCTCATCTAATCTCATCTAATCTAATCTAATCTAATCTATCTAATCTATCTATCTAATCTATCTGTCTCATCTATCTATCTAATCTATCTATCTCATCTATCTATCTAATCTATCTATCTAATCTATGTAACTATCTATCTATCTATCTAATCTAATCTAATCTAATCTAACCTAATCTATCTAATCTATCTAATGATTCTAATCCCTTCCTCCTAATACTAAACGTCCCCCTAATACTCAAAACTAGTTCACCCCGGGGTGTTTAGTATTAGGGTCCGTCCGATTTTTTAAATTTTTAATATTAAGGTTTTTAATTTAGTATTGGGGGGAAGCTTCGAAATCCAATTTTTGGCAATATTTTAATCGCGTTATATAAAGAAATTTAATTGATTTTGAGATCGGAAAAAATAGTTTTTACTATTAAGGGTTTTAATTTAATATTAAGGGGAAGCTTCGAAATCCAATTTTTGGCAATATTTTAATCGCGTGATATAAAGAAATCTAATTGATTTTGAGATCGGAAAAAATAGTTTTTATTATTAAGGGTTTTAATTTAGTATTAGGGGGAAGCTTCGAAATCCAATTTTTGGCAATATTTTAATCGCGTGATATAAAGAAATTTAATTGATTTTGAGATCGGAAAAAGTAGTTTTTATTATTAAGGGTTTTAATTTAATATTAGGGGGAAGCTTCGAAATCCAATTTTTGGATGAAAGAGAGAGAGAGAGAGAGAGACAGAGAGAGAGGCCAGCTGGGTAGATGAGATAGATAGATAGATGGCTAGACAGATAGACAGACAGAAAGGCAGACAGATCGATAGACAGACAGACAGACAGACAGACAGATAGATAGATAGATACACAGATACATCGATAGGTGCAAAGATCGATACATGGAGAGATAGATAGATACATAGAGAGATAGGTAGAGAGACAGAGCGATAGATAGATCGATAGATAGATAGATGGATAGATAAACACATAGATAGGTCGATAGATAGATAGACACATAGATAGATACATAGATAGATGGACAGACAGACAGATAGAGAAATAGATAGATCGATAGACAGACAGATACATAGATAGATAGATAGATTGGTAGGTAGGTAGGTAGATAGTCAGAGAAAGCGAGAGAAAGAGTGAGAGAGATCAAGCACCTTTCGGTCCATCAGTCGCTTCGCTCTGCCATCCCTGATTCACAACAACCAACCTCTCCTACAGGTTTCCTATTTTTGAAACTTCCGCCACCGCCTTGTGCGGTACTACTGGTATAAAGAAATTTAATTGATTTTGAGATCGGAAAAAATAGTTTTTATTATTAAGGGTTTAATTTTATTAATAGGGTTCCCTAATACTACATACCCCCCTAATACTAAAAACTACCTGCCGTGTTTAGTAATAGGGGAGGACGTTTAGTATTAGGAGGAAGGGATTAATCTATCAATCTATCTCTCTTTCTCTCTCACTACACTTTCTACAGTATCTAATTCTCTATCCGACTCTATCCATTGTTCTGTCTCTCAGTAGATCTCTCTCTATCTCTGTATCTCGTTTTTTTCTGTCTCTCTTTTTTTCTGTCTCCCTATCTGCCCCTATCTCTCTCCATCTCTCTACCTATGTATCTGTTTTACAGGTCCGAAACGAAGCAAGTCTGCGAGATTTCCTCAAAAATGAAAAGCTCACAGGTCCAAACGAAGAAACTCTGCAAGGCGTCCTAAAAAATTCGAAATTGACAACATCAAAAACGAAGCAGTTCTGCTACACTTCCTTCAAAATGAAAAGTTCAAGTTGGGTGCAGAGCTGACGCCCTCGTACCAATGTGTTTTGTCATTTTTAGCGCTCATGCGTCAAAAGTACGGCACGTGCCACGAAAAAGTGACACACGGTCACACGAAATCCTGCACTTGTCACGCTGAAATCATCTAATTAATCAAAAGCTGTCCATCTCAGAAAAGTCTGATGGAGATGTCTCTTGTACCGCGCCTGCCATGCGAAATGCATGTTTGAAACTGCTGCAAAACCCTCACGTTTAGCTGGCTTTTGCCAAGGTGCAGAATCCACTGCCAGGAAAGAAAGCGGGTGAATGTCCAAAAGCAGTGCGAACATGTGGCGCTTTTGCCATTTTGACTTGGACATGTGCTTCGCGCCACAGCCACGGGCACTTTTTGAACAGCTGAACTTCCAAAAGCGCTCTGAACCTAATGTGCTTTTAACGTGTTGACTTGGAAATGCACTTGGCGCCACAACCACGTGCACTTTTTGAGCAACACAACTGACAAGAGTGCTCCAGGACTGCAGTGCTTTTGACATTTTGACTCCGAAATGTGCTTCGCGCAAAAGCCGCGCGCACTTTTTCAACAGCTCAACTTCCAAGAGCGCTCGGACCCTGACAGAAGTGCTTTTGAAAGTTTGACTTCGAAACGCGCTTCGCACCACAGCCACGCGCGCTTTTCAAGCAACACAACTTCCAAGAGCTCCGACGTTTACATTTTGACTCCGCGATGTGCTTCACGCCACAGCCGCGTGCAATTTTTGATCTCTCGCATAGCTCCGCACCCGCCCGCGGGTGCTTTAGCGAGCCTACTTTTCGATCGTCCGGAGCCAGCAAAACATTGGAAAAACATGGAAAACAAAATGTTTCGCGACTTTTCTACCTTTTCGCGCGCTTTGATCTTCTTTCTGCTTACTCTCTCTCTCTCTCTCTTCTCTGCCAATTCTCACAACTGTTGCTGCACCTGTCCATTTGACTTCTAAACTTCCTTCGAATAATTACAGTATAACAGCAATGACAAATAGCAACCATAAAAACCGATAATAGTAATAATAATAATAGTAATGTAAATTAGCAGTAATACTACCCACAGACGCCGTGTGTTGCCCAGACATTAACATTGAGGATGTCGTGTTGTCGAATATGAATGAATATGATAGGAGAGATTGCAGAATACTGCATATGTTCATATATTTTCTGGTTTAGGATTCAAAGTTTTCAGGGTTTAGGTCTTACGGTTTAGGGTTTAAGGTTTTAGGTTTTAGGGCTTTAGGGTTTAGGGTTCAGGGTTCGTCGTCTGGGAAATCTCAAGACACTGGCCCTGCGCAGGTGTTTGAGCATGCTGAAGGATAATGCTTAAACGCCATTTGAACTTTCCGGGCAACACACAGCGCCTGGCCGTAATACTACTGTAGTCATAACAATAAGAAGAATAGACACCTGACACGGACACATTGGCGAAGATTGTACAGTAAGAGTTTTCCGACCTATCTATCTCATGTCTGCATCACATCTGTAGCACCTATTTCTGGTTAACGTCATTGTTTAATCATGTGGCGTTGTCTAAAAATAAGGGTCCCAAACCCAAAGAATTGATCCTTTTAAAATCGTTTTAACGGGGGAAAATGATCATCACCATGGAATTTTGGGGATATCTCTCAATGGACTGGTTTCAGGGAAAATCAAGATCGGAAACCTTGGATTTTTCCAAAGTTTAAGGACTATAGTCAGTGCCAGTCAGGCCAGTCATTGCTATAAATATAAATTCTCCATTGAACCTATCCACCCTCCATGGTTTCGACCCTTGGAAGCCACAGAAATCCCACGGCGCGACAAGCGATTTCTGGGTGTCGGGCAGCTGAGTGCCGTTCTTCACAGCCTGCCGGATGCGCTTCGCTGCGGTTTCAGCCTCAGCCGTGGTTTCAGCCTCGTCATATTCATTGTAGTGTCACAACTACGAGAAAACAATAGTAATAATGTTTGTAAGGAAATGATATATTGTAGATATAGTTAACTTATGAATAGTTCAAAGTTCAAAATACGTTTTCTCGGGAATGATATGGGCATAGTAAATAAATCAATGATGACAACAATGGGTAGACCATTATAGTACCCCAAATATGATAGATATACAGCTTGAGTATTGTACAAGAATTCACTGTATAAGAATTTGAGGGGCTCGAATCCAAGGCGGGCTACATATTTTCAGTTATACCAAACACATAGTACTTTAAGAATTTGAGGGGCCCTGGAATAGGACTGCCAAATTCTTAAATTTCTGCTTACACGTGAGGTTTGCAATTCCCCTTTGCGGTTCATTTTTTTTGTGGCATGACATGACCCTTTATGGTCTTATGGGATGAAATCGGGCTTTGCAGAAAAACTATTTTTCAAGCTCCGAAAAACTGTTTGTTTCACATACTTGGACTGCTTCCAATCCACGCAAAATCAATATATGGGTAGAGTTGGGGACCTGAAACGTTGCTTTCCCCAATAAGTTGAAAAAACTCAGGCCTACCGCGATTCGAACCTCCGCCCTTCAAAGCTAAGGTCCGATATACTAACCATTACGCTACAGGAGCCTTGCCTTCAAGGAATTTTGTTTTCTCATTCTCTCTCTTTGCTTTGGCTGCAAAGGGCTGGGTTTAGCATGGGTTGCAGTTGCGGAAAAACATTTTTTAAGGCTCTAAAAAAATGTTTTTTTCCCGCGCTGCTCTCATGAAACTCAGACAAGCCCGGCTTTGCAAAAAACAATTTTTCAGGCTCTAATAAACATTTTTTCGCATGCCTCTTGTCAAATCTGCCAACTCCACCTTGTTACCTCGTTTAAGCTCGCTCCAAATTGTGCAGATGCATGCAATACATAACTAAGAATGCCCTAAGAATTTGAAGGACCCTCGGCCTGTTGTGGTGGAAATTTGCCTGCATTAAAAAATAAGAATTTGAGGGACCCTGGACCTCAAGCTTTCGGATTCTCAACCAGCGCTCGGGCTGTATCTCCCGTAGCATTTATGGACAAAGTGATGATTGGCACCGCTGCAGTGGATCTCGGGCATCCCGCGAGCTCAACTTTTCTTTCCCAGTTCCGCTTCTGTGCCTCCGAAGCGGCATGGAAAAAAATGGGGTCCTGATATATCTGGTATGTAGCAAGTAAGTGATCATGCACAGTGTAGAGTAACTCTATGTACTCTATGTAGATGTATTGTCTATAAATGCATCGCACGCATCCGTTGGAAATACTACAAAGGAAAACGCATGCGCTTGAGGGTCTTGCACGCAGTCCCAAGTGGCAAATGTCACAGTGCCAGAACTTGAAGTCATACGATAGCAGTAACTAAAGGCACTGAAGGAAAGATCTTGTGTGATATTTGACACATGCGTACGATATTTGATATGTGTGGGTAAATACAGAGGATGCCGATGCCCTGGTATATCTTTTCACCATATGAACATCCATTAAAATCATCAAAAATGACCATGTACATGGACCTTGCAATGTGTTTTTGCTGTCATGTAGTGTCTAATGTTTACCCAAAGGCCCACATTGGAAGTTGAGCTGGTTGCATCTGCGTGCTCAAATGCTGGCGGACCTCAAGTTCGTAGGCCTCCGCCTTCTGGCTGACATAGTCGACCTGAGAGGTGCTGCATCAAACATTACATCTCAAGCGGGAAAATGTCATTCAACAAATAGACTTACAAGATGATTATTATATATATATATACATCATTTATATATCTCATGTTATATCATATCTGTATATACTGTATATATCTGTATATTGTATATACCATTAGTTCTGTAATATGTGTTGTTCATATTAGCGGCCTTGGATTCCCTGACGCTCTGAGGTCTCTGAGGCTGCTACAACCTGTGGCATCTCTGGAGACTGCCTTGACTGTGCTCGAAGCTTCTTGTGTTCCTTTCGTGCAGCTTCCTTTTCCTGGAAAAAAACAGTGATACATAGTGATGCTGGTTGGTTGAGAACGGGATTCCCCAATGATTCCCCGAACGTGGATGACTGTAATTCCCAATTAATGTTGGGTAGAATGTTGGGATATGTTGGGATTTGTTTTTTAAACCCCGAACTAAAAAAAATCAACTAACCAGGGTCTGGCAGCCACTGCGAACTAAGTGCCAGCGCCAAGACCCCAAATGCTTCACAACACCTAATGATATCAGATAGCAAATACGTCCAGATGGGCACCTCCACCACTTTGACAATGTCATGCTCAGTCTTTGCGAGCATCGCTTTTCGCTCTTTAATTTCATCCTCCAGGAACTTGGCCTGGCATCGGCATCGGCATCGGGTCCACTCCGAGTGGAGTGGAGACTCAGCCACTCGACCATACCGAGACCACACCGCACCTCGGCTGTGAGACTGCTGAGCTTCTTCTTCATGTTGTTCAAGATCTTGACCTCCAGGTTTCAGGTACCATGAAACTATAACTCAATCGTGATACGACTCTCGGCTCTAACATATTTTAAGGGTGTGTCAATCTGTCCAGCAACGACAGATACCCCAACTATCCAACTTATGGCTGTCTTAAAAGGGAAAAGACAGTTGGATAGTTGGGGTACCATGATGATCAACCATCAAATTTGCTACCATGATGATGCACATGGGATAACCAATCATGCAGCAGGGTTGATCGGTACATCTGAGAGCTGGACTGTTCGTCCAGCGCGGCGCTTCAATTCAATTAACTCCTCGCTGCAAAAAGTGTCACTGTCTGATGGGTGTTCTTCGTGGTAAATCCTGAGGCAATCCAATAAGAAACAAAAATTGGGATGGTCTATGGGATTGGGTTTACATCATGTTACATTTTGGAGAGATTCTAGGTTTGAGACATTACCGACATTGCCCGTCTCTGTCTGTGTTATTTCACATTTAACGTACAAAGAAGACCCCCATTAAGGCATTGTGGGCAATGACCTGTGTCACCCCAGCATCAGGTTTTTGGATAGAAAATGATTCCAACAAATAAACAGTGAAAGTCTCTCTGCCCTCCAAGACCTCAAATATCTGGATGTCACGACGCTGGGAGGATCAAGTTGAGCCAAGCAAGGCATTCGAAGATCAAAGTCCAGAACTACTGTTGGACTCTTGCTTAAATGGGGTTTCCTAAAATCGGGGTGTCCCAAAATGGATGAAAATGGATGGTTTATAATGGGATTCTAACTAAAATGTATGATTTGGGGGTACCCCATTTATGGAAACCACCAAATGAGACAGCCAGAATCACTGCAGAGTTCGGTCCTGGTTTGCCTCCTCGATCCTCTTGACAAACTGAGAGTTTTCGATCTGAAGCTGATGAAAGTCCTTACAAAGATGCAGAAATGTCAGCAACCTCTCATCTGGGTTTGTCTGAAAATAGTGTACCCCTACACCCAATGGTTTGTCTGATCATTATCCCTACTAAATGGCTATAATTGGGGGTATACCCCATTTTCAGACATACCCATCTATGAAACTGTTCCAAATAGTTTGTGATGAGAACTGGTCCTGCATTGTCCTACATTCTGATGGTTTTCTGAATGGCTTTCTACTCCAAGACTGCGACGATGTACTGCAAATCGTCGCCAGTTTCTGCTTTCGACTTCAACTGGGCCTCAGCCTCGTGACAATCAGAACAGCGGCACCAATTCTCACGTCAGCTGTCTATCCAATGTCTATCCCATCTGATTCTTCCACGCCTTCTTGATAGCCACTTTGTAGGCCTGGTTCTTCATCAAAAGCTTGTTGATTTGCATGTCCTGAGCGAAATTCAACATGATGTCTCTGCTTGATGTCCAAGGAAATTATCAAATGTTGTCATTGCCAGAAACCATGCTGAACCACACTGGAGCCATGTCCTTCTGCGTCAGTTTGTCTTCCATGTACTTCAGAACCTACCAAGAGTCGAAGCTTCAAACGTTTGACTCAGCATCCCTGTGAAGAGAAACTAATGCACACTGACGCCATTCGTTTTTAATTGATCAGCCAATTCCAGCCTTCTCCGCAACAGTCTTTCCGGTTCTGGGATTTTCTGCTCCAACTACAATATCTCGCCTCACACCAACGGAATAACGGAATCACAAAAAGGTCAAAAGGTTGCCGTTCGCTCAGTTCGCTCACGGATATCCTATAGTAACTATAGTATCCCATCGCTAAGACTGCCAAGACAAGTTGGGCGAAGAACTCTACAATTGTCATCAAACCTCACTGTATTGATAGGCCTAGACTTCATCGAAAGTAACGCGTGACAGGGCTGCCCCTGCGGGGGGATATTCTGACTGCAACTGATCAAAGTTTGAGAACTCATTGGCACACCGAAGATGTTTCTACAAGCAAATATCTGAAATCACATGCAAGCCACAGAACAAAAAAGGATACTCAGTCAAGCTGGATATGGAAGTATCCTAAAATAGGGTTACCCCAAACCATCCAAGTCATTAGATCATGACTCAGTATTGAAACAACATGAAACAACCATGGTGACTACGGTGACTCACCTGGGATTCCCCATGGATTCCGGTGGCGCCTGAATTCATACGCGTCCCGCTTGACCTCCGCGATCCTGATGTCCGTTTCCTCCATCAAGGCTTTCAGAATGTCAAGGTTCTGGTCACTGGTCAACTTGGTCTGTGCCTCAGTCGTCCAATGCCTGAGACCAAAATTAAAATGGGGGATGCGGGATAACTAAGGATGACTAGCGAATCGAAGTTGCAATTCAATGAAAATGGGCTAAATGGCAAAATAGTGAGAAACCAGAAACCTGCATATCACACCCAAACTGTCACACATCGTCTGCACTCTTCTGAAAATGCTTCACAAAGGCTGAAAATTACTACAGCCCCACTGCAGTGGCGGGTTTTTTTGTCTCCTGGAAAAGGCAGTGCAGGTTGCGAAAATTCAGCACGGTCAATGGGATTCTGGATCTTACACCAACAGAGCATTCTCCATCCAGGTGTCTCTTTGTCCATCTCTGATGACGCAAAAAAGTTCTCATCGCCAAGAAGTGGCAAGTTCTTAAGTCGCTCGTTCGGCTGGAAGCTCGTTGGCAGTATTCTGATGAGCTCTATACATCTCCAAGGAATGACTCCATGCTGCTTCTGTAAGCCCTTCTGGCAAATGAACAGCACAGACTCCCAATGGCCTGGCCACGAGGCCATCGGTAAAGCTGGAAATCCATCGGTAAAGCCATGCTGAAGGGAAACTGTTTTGGACTGACCAACCGATAGCAACGGAACTCTGGGAGATACGATGCGACGATGCGACGATGAGTGTTGCAAAAAAAGCGCAGCATCTCACTACGCGCCTCACCGATTGGATGTTCTTCGCGGAATCGTCCACAAAAAGAACTTTGTTGGGTGCCACACCAGATTTTGCCAGCAAAGTCTGACAGCAAGTCAACATCGAGATATTGAAGCACAGGGAAGAATTGGGCATCATGGTGGCAGTAATGTCTTGACTCATGACGTATTACAGTGGTCCAATGTGGTCCAATGCCTCAAGGTGGGGTCGCTTGTACTCACCACGCCGATAGTACATCTCAAAGAGCCTGGCGGTCTGCGTTTTCAAGGAAAAAACTCACAGAACAGCATACAAAAGCAAAGATGCTGAAGATGCTGTCAGATGTTAAAAACATGCATTCTTAGTATTTCTTAGTTGTTAGCGTCATTCTTAAAATGGAACCCTGTCATTGTGACAGGGTTCCTGAAAAAAAAAAACGACACCCTTTTTACTGATCCCGGCCTTCGATCTATGACATCCTTCATGGTGATGCCAGGCGCAGTTTCCATGGTCTCCAGTAAAGGCAAAGCTTTGTGCCTGCGCGAACTGCCTTCAGGAAAGATATGGAAAAATGAACCACCACTGGGCCAGCAAGCTCCAGCTTAAGATATCCAAAAACCAACAAAAACCAACAAACACCTCATCAAATTTTGTAAAAATGGAGCTTAATTTGTCTGAAAATGGGGTACCCAAAAATCCAAAACTGCCATTTGGGGGTACCATTTTCGGACACACCCATTGAATAAACAGAATTGGGCAGAGACCTTGCCAAGTTACTTGCCACTGCCACACGGACACCCTGCGAGCGCAAGGAGTGAAGCCTCAGTTCATCCCAATGTGCAGTGCAATGTGCCCAACAGGTCTCATGCCTATTCATCGTTGACTCGTGCACAACGCAGCGTCAACTGAACCCCTGCAACCAAAACAAAGGCCCGCTTGCACATTTTTTCTCTGGAATGTGGAGGCATTCTGTGCCGCGAAAACTGCTTTCACTCCTGCAACGACGGCACTCACGTATTCATTTAATCGGTTCATATGTACATTGCAGAAGCCTAATTGCACCGTGTACTGTTGCTCACTGCTGTGCATGTGCATTCATCTGATCTTCAATTCTCCCAAGGGTCGGAGTCACGCACGTACCAAAAGTAGGTCACCATGGGAGCAATGAAGGCACCCACAAAGAGGATGCCGAAGACACCGACGTATTCGTCAAACTTGGCGGAGAACTTCTCGTCGGCTTTGATGAACTTCTCATCATCGATGAAGTCCTTCTTCTTGGCCCCAGCCTTCATGGTGTATGTTCCCTCAAGGCCTCCACCGGCTTTTCCACCCATGGACACTGGCAAGTCCTGCGCCAGCACAATGGAAGAGTCCATTGGAGCCATGTCTGCCATGTGGGCCACCGCAGCATCACTGTGGACGCCCGTGGCCAAGATACCAGCCAGGGCAGCGGCTCTCAGCGGTCCAACAAAGGTTCGCTGCTGCCACACCGCAAAGAGAGCGATGAAAGCAATCAAAGCTCCAAGCTTCGAAGATCGCCGGCGGATTGGCATCATCTCTGCTGTAACTGGTGAACTGGACCCACTGGAAAGCTGAAAGCTGAAAATACTGCGGATCAAGAACATGTCAGATCAAAAACGATCAAAATATCAAGACGCAAAGCGTGTCCAGCCATTTCCGGAACGTGAGATGATTTGCCCAACAAACTTCTACAAACAAGAATTCTTCAGCACTTTGATTTCGATCCGCCAACTTTGGAGCCAAGAAGCAGAGCCCAAACACGTCGCACCGCTGGGAACAGTCGGATCTCCTTGTCATGCTAGTGACGTTAGCATTCTCAGCCCGGGATCCAATGGATCCAACATGATCCAACTCCCCTGGATCCTCATTGGCGGAGTTCAGGACAACACCCTCGGAGATTCTCTGATATGGAGGGCCTCCTGCTGTCTGATACCTCGCTATCAGCAGCTCAGGGGCAACACGTTTGAAGGCGAGCTCAAAATGAGCAAGTCTTTCAGATTGAGGTCGCCACATTTCAGGCCTCCAGCATACCTAGGGTGGTGATTGCTTACTGGCACCACTATAAATACTACGAGTATGGCAAACTTTAGATACTTTAGGTCCACAGAACAAGGTGTCTGGAATGAATGGTTGATTGCTTGTTTTGTGGATAATTTCTTGACAGACGGTGGCCGGACGAATGGATAGATGAACTGTGTAGCATTGTGTAGCATTGTGTAGCATTGTGTAGCATTGTGTAGCATTGTGTAGCATTGTGTAGCATTGTGTAGCATATGCAGCATGCAAAAATACATAATAAAATATAATAATATGATGTTATTATGCAGGAATATGTCAATCTTGACACAAGTCTGACTCTGGATTCTGGCTCCACATCAACAACCAAGAAACTGGACTCATGGTAAGATTCCCATGTCACACATCTAAAGAAAGTCTACTTCACAAAACCAAGAGCCCCAACTTTCCCTGCTTCATCTCTAGTGTGCAGTTCAAGGGCTCCATCCAAGTCAAACACCATCATGTCCGGCAAGTCTTGCACATCTTCCTAGGAAGAAAGCAAGGAATAGCCCCAGCTGAGCTGGTTTGGAAGTCATCACTTTGCCTCTGCCAAACTGATTTCTCTCAGTTGAATACTGGAATGTCGCACATCAAAATCATCAAAGCACAACATCAAAGCACAACATCAAGTTCGGCAAACTTCTGCACTGAAAATTCATCAGAGCCACGGCCGTTGGTTGCCTTGGATTCAGCTGGAGCAACTGCCGCAGCAGCGCCGAGATGCGCCGAGATGCGCCGAGTCACTGCATCTCCCTCCGAGATGTCCATGTTCCGAGCAGAGGCAACGCATCATCTGGCACCGAAGATCCTCATAACTCATCTGTGATCCGGGAGGACCATCAAAATCATCAAAATTTGTGTCAGCTTAGAGATGAACAGGAAAAAAAACTAAAAAAAATCGGAGTTGTTTTTTTGGCTTCCTATGGCTTCAACCACCAATGGTGCCTGACCTGGCATGATAATTTTGGTGCCTGCCAGGCATCTGGGCAGACGAAGTGTCCAAACACCTGGCCGACCTGGCAGCTGCACTGCTGCAGTTTCTCATTTATATGGGGGTTTCCACAAATGGGGTGCAATAGCTGGATGGTTAAGAATGGAAAATCCAAAAAACTACTTTCTTCGAGTGATCCCCACCTGAAACACTATTCTGGCATAGTTTCTGACATACCATCTGGAAGTATATGTGGCATATTTATTCTGGCATTCTATCTGACATTTTTTCTGGCATATACTTTGACATACTTTGACATTCTATCTGACATTCAATCTGGCATCTATTTTGACATTCTCTCTGACATTATTTTTGCCATTCTATCTGGCATCTATTCTGGCATTCATCTGACATTCTCTCCAGCGTCTGGCTGAGGTCCGGCAGTGCCCACTGAGATCTCCCGAGGAGAAGGACAAGGACGAGGAGGAGAAAGCAACTCTGATAGAATCTAGAGACCCTCACCTGGCAGGTGGGGAAAAACATTGATGATTTAGGGGTACCCATATTTTAGGAACCCCCCATATCATGCATGCAACCTTCTGTGAGGTCAGTAGAACAAACCATGAAAAAAACATGAAAAACCTGTGGCAAGAACCCAGTTGTGATGCTTCAGCTCTTGTAGTTGGGCCTTGAGCTCGCAGAGGAGACTTCAACCACCAGGCTTTGCGAATAGGCGTCGCCCATTGACCCACCACCTGTCAGTTCCGTGGCAAACAACCGGGCATCAATGGCCCATCAATGTGGAAAACCCAATGCCACAAACTTACCATCTGGCGATGGTTTATACAACGCATAAAAATTGTGATTTTGGGCATGGTTTAGTGTTCGGTTTACCACATCAACGGCTATCAAAACTCAACATTTTTTGTCTGCACGATGCTGCACGTTCCGCCTCTGAAGCGACAACTTTCTGCACATTTTGTTGCCTCAGCTGTTGCTGGCCTGGAGCCATTTGACGATGATGCCTGGAGTAAGGACCGGGCCTGGTCTGCTCCTTCGTGTACTGACAGGTTGTCGCCAAATCAACCAAGCCCAGGACCTCGAGAGAAGATGGTCAATGTATTTATATTTACATATATATATGTGTGTGTGTGCGCATTTATCTATCTATCTATCTGTCTATCTATCCTATCCTATCCCATCCTATCCTATCCCATCCTATCCTATCCTATCGTATCCTATCTATCTATCTATCTATTTATCTATCTATCTATCTGTCTATATACCTATCCATCCTATCATATCCTATCCTATCCTATCCTATCCTATCTATCTATCTGTCTATCTATCTATCCTATCCTATCCTATCCTATCCTATATATCTCTCTATCTATCTATCCTAGCTAGCTAGCTAGCTAGCTATCCTATCCTATCCTATCCTATCCTATCCTATCTATCTATCTATCTATCTATCTAATCTATTTATCTATCTATCTATCTGTCTATCTATCTATCTATCTGTCTATCTATCTATCTATCTATCTATCTGTCTATCTATCCTATTTACCTATTTATCTATCTATCTATCTATCTATCAATCTATCTATCTTTCTATCTATCTATCTAATCTATCTATCTATCTATCTACCTATCTATCTATCTATCCATCCTATTTATCTATCTATCTATCTATCTTTCTATCTATCTATCTATCTGTCTATCTATCCTATCCTATCCCATCCTATCCTATCCCATCCTATCCTATCCTATCGTATCCTATCTATCTATCTATCTATCTATCTGTCTATCTATCTATCTATCGATTTATCTATTGATCTATCTATCCGATCTATCTATCTATCTATCTATCTATCTATCCTATTTACCTATTTATCTATCTATCTATCTATCTATCGATCTATCTATCTATCTATCTCTCTCTCTCTATCTATCTATCTATCTATCTATCTATCTATCCTATTTACCTATTTATCTATCTATCTATCTATCCTATTTACCTATTTACCTATTTACCTATCTATCTATCTATCTATCTATCGATTTATCTATCTATCTATCTATCTATCTATCTATCTATCTATCTATCTCATCTATCTATCTATCCATGCTATTTATCTATCTATCTTTCTTTCTTTCTATCTATCTATCTGTCTATCTATCCTATCCTATCCCATCCTATCCTATCCCATCCTATCCTATCCTATCCTATCGTATCCTATCTATCTATCTATCTAGCTAGCTAGCTAGCTATCTATCCTATCCTATCCTATCCTATCCTATCTATCCTATCTATCCTATCTATCCTATCTATCCTATCTATCCTTTCTATCCTATTTATCCTATTTATCCTATTTATCCTATCTATCCTATCTATCCTATCTATCCTATTGATCCTATCTATCCGATCTATCCGATCTATCCGATCTATCCTATCTATCCTATCTATCCTATCTATCCTATCTATCCTATCTATCCTATCTATCCTATCGATCCTATCGATCCTATCGATCCTATCGATCCTATCTATCCTATCTATCCTATCTATCCTATCCTATCTATCCTATCCTATCTATCCTATCCTATCCTATCCTATCTATCTATTTATCTATCTATCTATCTATCTATAATCTACACTTATGTAAATATAAAAATATTTGTAATAAAATATATATTATATACATATACATGTTTTTCGTGTCCCAAACAGATCAGGTATTTACAATATATATTATGAGTGTGTCAGAGAATGGGGTATACCCCCAATGCCCTCTGGCAATTTATATAACTCCACGGAGATGGAAGACCCCATGGAAAATCCCATGGAAAATCTCTTGTATCAACAGGAAAATCATCTGAGTCTGTCCAGAATCCGGCAAAATTACCAAAATGCTCTATGTTTTCCCAGCATTTTCAGACAACGCCACGGTGCCTGACCCCGCTGGAAGCCCATGGGTGGCTGCAGCAATCCTTCCAGATTCGCAGGATCTGCCAGGTTGTTGCGCCAGAGGAACTCTCCAGCGACCTGGGATGAAGTTTTACCCCAAAACATGGGGAGTTTGTGAGATTTTGGCTGGGGATTTACACATCAAATACCAGAAAGGAGATAAATCAAGAAGGCAGGGAGAGTAGTGACATGATGGCAAGAGGTAAATCAAAAGCAGCCCAAAAGATTTGGTCGACCTAAGATGGGCCAAGAAATTGGGCTCAGGCAAAAACAAACGAAGTTCTTCATCTATAATTCCACGTGCTAACCATAAACCATGACCGAGTGTCAACCGTAGCCTCAGGCCATCTCAGGCCCGGACACTCTCGTCCATGGTCTTGTGACCAATATGCAGCAGACACGGACCTGACATGGCCATGATCTGCCATGGCGTTCCAAGCTGTGCGGCTGCATCTCGCATCTGAGGCACCGGAGACATCTTTCAACATAGGCCAGTTGCGTGTCTCCACAGTCTTCACTCCATGCAACCTTAAAAAGCATAGATTCAACCTGGGGGGTTTCCGAAAGTAGGGCTACCACGACATGGATGACCATGACTTCGTATAGGTTTTTGCCATGGTGATGTGGGGTTCCCCATGATTTTGCAGTGTTTAAAACACCGTGGTGCACCGAAGAGCATTGTGGATTCTGGGGAGTGTGTGTTGCGTCAAGACTCTGCACTGGGATATCAGGCGCTTCCATCATGTCATGTGATTCTCTTGACTTGAAGGCTGTATCGGCTGTATCTCTTTGTCATCAAAAATCATTACCCTCTGTTAATTTAACATAGCTATTGAAAATGACCATTGATAGTGGATTTTCCCATAAACAATGGTGATTTTCCATAGCTATGTTAATTTACCAGAGGGTATGGTTTTGTCCAAAAATAGGTGATACAGCGATACAGTGATACCCAAAATATCCAAAAATGACAGATAGAATGATCGTTGTAATGAGGACAATGATGATACACAATGGATTTGGAGGTACCCTATGCAGCCATACTGTGGCCAGCAATCGCATGCAATCGCCAAGCTGAAGTGAAACCAACGACTTGGAGGCTGTTTTCTGCAAATAAGTAGCAGTAATGAAGCATAGGGATCTCGCATCGAAAAACATGGCAAGTCAATGTGCTCAGCCTAGTGAGGCAACGGCTTCATTTCGATTGCGAATTGGTCAGAAGTTTCAGAGATCACTCACAATGTGAAGAGTCAGTTGACCTCACTTGGTTGCTCCTGAAACCATTCAGAAACATTCAAAAACATTCAGACAAATCTAAAAACCCTGCCTGGCCGTTCTCCCCCTTCACAGCCGGTGCTTTTCCCAGCTGTTTGGTCAGCTTGGTCCCTTTCAATGATCTTCGCTTGGGGGGTGTCCATTGACCCTGCGCTCGAAGCGCTACCGCCACACAAGCTACGCCAAGTCGGCAGCCAGCGAAGCTGTCATTGGATTTGAGTGAACCATGGCCGCCACGGCCGCCATGGCTGGGCCCCCAAACTCGCAAGGATCCCGACCCCAAGGACCCCAAGGACCCATGGCACACAGCCATCAGCCCCAAGGAATGATTCTGTGACGTCTGGAATGAGGATCTGAGCGTAAAGTTTTAAAGGCCCCTTGGATCTAAAAGGATTTTTCATGATTTTTCCAAGGATGTTTCAATATTCCAAAGATGCCAGGTGTTTGCATGTGTCAAAAGCAAGCCGCGCACGGGCGGTGACGCACAGTCACAAGCACCGAGCCAGCTGGCACTGTATCGCTACTATTTTGGGATTCATGATAAGAGAACGAGGAATATCCAGCAATGATACATATGTATATGTACATGTATGTATATATACATATTATATATCATAATTATATATATAGCCAGTAGTTTGAGTGCAGTGAATGCAGAACTTTAGGTCCATAATAGGTCCATATCATACAATTCTCTTCAGTTTGAGATAGAACTCCTGTACTCTGACACACACCTGTACATATGAAAGAGAGGAGTGGACAACACGGATTTGGCTCTGATTGGTTCATTTGTTGCCCCAAGGAAGCCTGCAAATAACTTCAAGAAGAGTGGTGCAAATGAACTTGCCCTAGGCACAAGATTGAAACTGCGCTCAACTCAAAATACCTGTGCCCACGACGATGTCCTTTGTGAGGGCTTCCATCTGCAGAGCGGCAAGGTGGCAACAGCTTTGTCTTTGGCAAACGGCGTATAATTCTAACTGACTTGCGGCGACATGTACTGACAGCAAGCCCATGCTCAAAGCTTAAGCCTAAAGTAAAGTCTAAAGTCTAAACAAGCCCATGAGCTTGGCCTCCTGGTTGGCTATCCGAAATCTGTCCTGATCACACATTGCCCCTGGCCGATAAATCTGCCTTTTGGACATCAACGCTGTCATCATCATCGTCATCATCGTCGCCGTTCCTCTCACCGTTTCTGTCGCAGTTGTCGTCGTCATCCTCGTCGTCATCCTCATCTGTCAACGCAATCAACACCGTCAACGCCATAAACACCATCAAAGTATATCAAAGTCATCAAAATCATCAACATCAGCAACGTCGTTGTCATGGTGGTCGTCGCCATGCTCATCATTGTCATAACTGCCATTCTCATTATCCTCATCGACATCATTGGTCATCTCGTCGTCGTTTTGTCATATCATCGTCTTCGCACTAAGAACATATGGCACACTGGGGCTCCAAAAGCAATACGTACACTACACTGGCTGGAAAAGAGATCAAATGAGTCTGATCTCAAGTTGTTCTCCTCCAAGCTAAGAGTAGTTGGAAGCTGTCTTCGCCTGTGGAGCTGTTGAAATCTGAACAGGACTGCAGAATTCTCAGAAGTAAGTTGAGCTGCGCACTGTTGTCCTTGCCGGCCACCCTTTGCGGCCTCCCGGTGCTCAGTCCGAACCCCGGGGCATTGTGAAAGACGCTGTGCCAACCTTCTTGCCCTTGTCGACTGGGGAGGATGGCAGGTCGGACAATGCCTGCCAAGCAAATACATCAGTCACTTCCATTCCATATGCATATACATGTGCGAACTTCGATCATACTCACCCATATATATATATATATTATATATTATATATATATTATATATATATTATATATTATATATATATATATATTATTTATATATATATATATTACTATGTTTCTACAATTGAAATCATATAAAATCAATTAAAATCATATAAATTGATCTAGAATTCTTGGTGCAATGGGATTGATGGGACGCCCCACCTCATCTGTGTCTTCCAGGCCAGATGTTCTCTCAGCGTCTCGCTGAAGGTAGTCTGCAAGCATTTCATTTTCCATACCTGTGAGATCTGTGAGATCTGAAATCTGCAAATCCACGGACTGCTGGGCTGGGCTGCTGGGGCACCCAAGATTTCATTTTGCTTTTGCAGGTCGGCGACCTGACATGCACTGCACATTGCCACTGCAGCACTGCTAGATGCCAGTCACACTACTCCAGGACCAAGATTTCCATAGATTTCCATGATGCAAATGAGCACCACGGTATACCACAGCGTATACTCAGGACCTTGTCTTGCAGCTCTTGCAAGGTCGACATGCGAAGCCTTCAGGAGCTGGATTGCGACCGGCACAAATGCGATACAATGGCCACAGCTTTCAAATTTTCAAACACCAAAGAGACCCCCAGTATCCCCCAGTGATATCAGTGATGGTTCGATGAATCATGAAAATCGATTGAACGTCAATTGAAAATGCATCACCATCTCCGACCTCAGGGATCCCCAGCGTTGGAACAGTAGAGGCGCGACTTGTTGAGCCAAATGCCGCAGCACCCGCAACATGGCGTTGCAAATCCCCCAATGCCCAGCTGGGCATCTCAGCACAATGCAATCGAATGCAATCGATTTCCGAAGCCACAGATTTGCTGTATGTTACCCCTCAGTCCGTTCTGCCGCTTCCTGCTGCGATTTTTTCCTTCTGGGCGTGATTGCAAAGCATGTGAGTTGCATTGCAAATTGCTGTGCAAATTGAATCTCAAAGATTCCGGATTTTGACAGTAAAGGTGTGGGGCTCTGGAACTTGTGTCCTCCAACGTCATTATCATAAACAGGCACTGTACACTCCGAAGTAAATGGCAGCTCTACTTCGGCTTAACTTTTCTGATTGTCATCTGGAGCAAACAGGCTACCAGTCTCGCCGGTTGCACTGTCCAACCTGAAGAAAAATTGCAAGAACGTGGAATAATCACACCATATCGCCGCGCCGAAGCTGGCTACAGGATCATGATGATTATGGTGATAGGCAAGTTCGGAGTCGTAAGAAACAAAAGATATTCAGAAAGTGTGATGTCACATGGTTTTGTCTGAAAATACATGAAAATGCCCCAAATATCCCCAAATCCTCTGGCTTATCATCATTTTCCACATAGATATGGCCATGGGGAGTATCTCCGATTTCCATCCATTTCCGGACCAATACGCTAAGGTCACGGCATGGCGAGTTCGTCGACTGGTTCGAATTCCGACAAGCCCTGCAGGCTTTGAAGGTCAACAAGCAATATGCCATGTGTATCCGTTTGTAGCATTTGAATGGGGCAAATTCAATGCAAATTCATGAAAATGATGATTTTACCATGATAAACCATGATTTTTACCCTCTGATTGTGATGTTTTCTCAGTTTTTCAGACACACCCAGCCCTCCCATCCACATGGGCATACCGTTGCACCTGCATCTCCTCTCTCTGCCACTTTTGCAGTCGTTGCCGCCAAAGGATCTCCAGAGCTGCTCGCCTAGGTCTTGCTCGCAGGCTGGCTTTAAAGGTACCTTGAAAAATTGTCAATAAAATTTGGTAAAAGATGATAAGCCCAAAAATGTTGGAACAAAATAGTTCTGGGGCAAAAAATGTGTGTATCCATTTATGAGCGTGGTGCTGTTCTTTCTGCTTGTATCCCTTGTGTCCATTTCATAAGGGTCGTGCATTTCTTATATCCATCGCGTTACAATTGCCTTCTTCCTCTTCTGGAAAATTCCTTTGTCCCCATATCTTTTTAATCCATTCCTTCCTCTTGTCCGTTGGCAAGGCTTCTTGATCTCTCAAAGTCTTCCACTTTAATTAATTATATAATTATATAATTAATATGTTTTCCTTAGTGACTTTGTACTAAGTCAAAGTATCAGTATATGTGTTCCTCTTCACATTTTTCTTTCGTAAACATTTCCATTGGTTGCTTTTCTTTGAGATAAGTTTGTTTTCCCGTCGAATCTAGTTGGCTCTTGCGAGACTTTCCACACATATTGGCAAAGATGTTGGACACAGTTTGCCAGCTGGCTTTTGAACCCGGCTGGGTTGAGGTTTATAAGTTCAGTCATCAAACAACATCCACAATCGTTTTTAGCAATCTTATTCTTACTATATATATATATACATTAACTCATGTGTTCTTTCAGTAAAAGTGTCTTTGTATGGCAATACTATAATGCATGACAAGGAGATTATCAAGAGAAGACGTCATAAGCAATGTCTATCACAATCTTGAGACTGGTTTCCGAAGCATACAAGACGGAATGTAATAACAATAATGACAAGCGAAGGAACAACTTGAGCAAACAAAGTGGAAAGAACTTCCTCAAAAAAAGAGCCAAACCAATGTACGCATATCAATTTGACCTAGTGGATATGAAAACCTTAACCAAACTTGCAAAGGCAAAAGTTCCAGTCAAAATGGGAGAACCAAGATATGCGATACGGTGGATTTTGACACCTTCAGCAAACTAGCAAATATCTTTCTCAATATGGTGCCAGTCCCGAAGGAAATGTTCAAGAAATGGATGAAAATGGATGAAAATGGTTCATCCATGTTCATCCCATGTCCATTTACAGTGATCATGACAGAGCATTCAAAACATGTGCGGCATCGAACGCTGAAAATCAGGACGCTTGAAAAGGGGCAGTTGGACATAGTTGTCGAGGCAGTTTTACAGACACAGTAACATTGTCCATTTAATCTGTGTTTCAAGCAAGATGAAGCCAACACAAGCACAAAACGACACAAATCGTATGGATGCCAGGCCATATCTCAGAAGGGAAATGAACACTCGCAAGTATCAAGACGTCATTGTCAAGAAAGGAGTGAGCAAATGGCACAAGATACAGGAGACAAGATTATAATGTGGGCAGCAGGACTTCAATTTTTAGAGGTTGAAACGATCCTATTTGAGGCAGAAACCTCTGAACGTATAAAAACATCTGATATATGCAGTTGATCTATTTTTGTTCATCCGGAAACGACCATTCTTCGCGAAATAAAAATGTTACTCTCGCGTTTATCTTTCGCGGGACCCAGGTGTAAGGTTTCCTGGGCGACCCCGTTCATGCACACGTTCGCTCGCTCGTTCGCACTTTCGCGGAAATTTCGCGAATATACAAAATATCCCCATAAAATATAATTATATACAATTGATTTCGCAAAATTTTCACAGAATAAAATATAAAATAGAGCTTCGGCGGTATCCCTCTTTCTAGCGTGCGAAGCCAGGCTGGAAACAGCTCAGGTGGGTTTCCGTGAGTTAAATGACCGCAAATCCTGTTGAACCTAACCTGGCTCTGCACCAAAGACTCCCAGACCTTTTCCGGAACGTTCTCCGGAACCCTGTTGGGCCTGACCTGACTCCGCACCAAAGCCTCCCAGACCTTCTCCGGAACCCTGTTGAACCTGACCTGGCTCTGCACCAAAGCCTCCCAAACCCCAACCCTCCCGGAACCTTCTTCGGAAACCTGTTGAACTTGACCTGGCTTTGCACCAAAGCAGACCTTCTCCGGAACCTCTGTTGAACCTGACCTGGCTCTGCACCAAATCCTCCCAGACCCTCCGCAACCTTCTTGAACCTGACCTGGCTCTGCACCAAACCCTCCGGGAACCTTCTCCGGGACCTTCTCCGGAACCCTGTTGAACCTGACCTGGCTCTGCACCAAAGCCTCCCAAACCCCAACCCTCCCGGAACCTTCTTCGGAAACCTGTTGAACTTGACCTGGCTTTGCACCAAAGCAGACCTTCTCCGGAACCTCTGTTGAACCTGAACTGGCTCTGCACCGAACCCTCAGACCTTCTCCGGAACCTTCTCCGGAACCCTGTTGAACTTGACCTGGCTCTGCACCGAACCCTCAGACCTTCTCCGGAACCTTCTCCACAACCCTGTTGAACCTGACCTGGCTCTGCACCAAAGCCTAGGTCTCCGGAACCTCCCGAACCTCTGTTGAATCTGACTTGGCTTTGCACCAAAGCTTCCTGGAACCTTCTCCGGAACCCTGTTGAACCTGACCTGGCTCCGTACCAAAGCCTCCCAGACCTTCTCCGGAACCTCCGGAACCTTCTCCAGAACCTCGTTGAACTTGACCCGGCGCCTGCACCAGTGCACACCGGAGCTATTCTGGGCTGAAGACCCCCTTAGCTTACGCTGTTGGGGAAAAATGACTTTCGCGAACACGACCAAAAACTTTCGTGACGGGTAAAAACACAGCATGAACAGCCTTTGCAAACATAATTCTTACAAGGACCTTTAGTTAATGTCCCATAGAGATATAGATAGATGACAGAAGTAGTCGTCAAAGATATAAACGATGAAGAAAGCAAGGGAGAGATTAGTACGGAAACAATTGAACAATAAACACCCAAAGCAGAAGAAGAAGAAAAAAAATACTTTACTTCGTGTGATCCCCGCCATGACATTTATACATTTTCTTACTGGCAAATCTTCTGGCATTCTATCTGACATATCTTCTGACATTCTATTTGACATTCTATCTGGCATATCTTCTGGCATATGATCTGGCATATCTTCTGGCATATCTTCTGGCATTCTATCTGGCAAATCTTCTGGCATTCTATCTGGCATATCTTCTGGCACTCTATCTGACATATCTTCTGGCATTCTATCTGGCATATCTTCTGGCATATATTCTGACATATCTTCTGGCATTCTATCTGACATATCTTCTGGCATATATTCTGACATATCTTATCTTCTGGCATATCTGGCATATCTTCTGGCATATCTGACATATCTTCTGGCATATCTATCTGGCATATCTTCTGGCATTCTATCTGGCATATCTTCTGGCATATCTGGCATTCTATCTGGCATATCATATCTTCTGGCATATTTCTGGCACATTCTTTCTGACATTCTTTCTAACTTTCTTCTGCACATTCTTTGTGGTTGAGGTCCGGCAGGGAACACTGGGCGTGGATGGTCGTGGTTGAGGTCCGGCAGAGAACACTGTGGATCGCGGGTCGCAGTTGAGCAAGGACGACGAGGACGACGAGGACGACGAGGACGACGAGGAGGACGAGGAGGAGGAGGAGGCAGGAGGAGGCGGAGGAGGAGGAGAAGGAGGAGGAGGACGAGGAGGCAACTGACATAAAATCTAACAACCCTCACCTGGCAGGTGGGGAAAAAGAAGAACTCACCATCAAACTATCTCAAATAAATCGGAATAAATGCCAATCAATCCCAGCATTAATTCATATTAATTCCAATAAATCGGATGAAATCCCAATTTTCATCCCACGGTTGATCGCTGTCACCAACCCCCCATCTTTGTGGGTTCCATGCAGAAAATCATCCAGACTTTTTGAAAATCATTATAGAAATGATCTAGAAATGGAGGGTAGAAAATGGTATCACATAAATCTATATAAATTTACCTTCGCCATCTTGAGTATCTATAAATAGATATAAATAGCATCAACACTACTCCAAGGTCTTTTTTCGAGGATTCCATCGCTGGATTTGACATTCACAAAGGCCAAGTCAATGATGTCTTCATAACCTCAAATCGGGCAATGGTGGTAACAACGCCAATGGCTATCAGGGGCTATCGTGGGACATAGGGAGAAGTGAGACCTAACGAGATGCGACTTTTGCAGAAGCATAATCCATGTGAACAAGCAAACAAAAGGTAAATCATACTGTAGCAATTGCTATGCTCAAGCAACTCGCGAGCGAGATATCCTTTTTTCGGATTGAGGAACACTGGATGCTATGATTGAGGGGTGGGGCAGGGGGCCAGGGGGGTTCCCGGTTCACATTGTGATCAATTTGTTCGTTGATGTCAATTGCGTGAACACCCAATCATCTGAATGTCAACTTCATGAGAGTTGAGTTTCCCAACGACACCTCAAACCTCATTGTCTTCAAAAGGTTCTTCATTATCAAAGCATCTATAAGGCCTATAAGGAAACATTTCTTTTGACACAAAAGGCCATGTGAGTCCCTTGGTGGAAATGTCCTTCGGACAGCTCCACCATATGAGTCCCTCGGTGGAAGTATCCTTTGGACAGCTCCGCCAACCATTCATTCTCAAGAGGTGGCTGAGTTGTAAAAAGCCCGGCGACAATTTCTGAAATACACAACTGTGAAAATGGGTATTAACCAATAATAGATAGGTCGCAAGTATATAAATGAATCAAGATCAATTAAGTATATATATATATTATATAACTATATATTTATATATTTATATAGCTATAAAATTCAAGCATTTTACGTCCGAGCTACGACACCCCCCAGGTGCCACCTGTGCAAACACGGCCTTCAAAGACCGCCGATCTTCTATCTACATCTATCAGACTATATCAGACTATATCTACTTCAGTCAATGACTTTGGAATAGAAAGGGGAAATGCAATCTCATACGCTTCCATTAGGCTTTGAACATTTCGGATTGAACATCTTCAAACAAAGACTTAAAACAAACTCACTAATGTGAATCATATGAACCATCCGTGTTTCACGCTCTGAAGGGCCAGAACGAAACCACGGCAAAGCGATCCTCGCTCAGCTGCACAGACCAGGGGCTCAGGACCCGTTTTTCAAACGGCCATGAACACCTCTGTTTAAGCCGAACCCTCCAGCAACGGATTTCCTGGAACATACAGCTCAGCTCCCTTGTCAATCAACTGTGCGGAAGCGCTGATGTCCCTCATCCATTCATACGCGCTAAATCGGATCTTTACACTACATACAACCATCACATCATGCTTGTTGCCATCAACAGCCATCAACTCCGGTGTCAATGCCTCCTGGAATAAGTTGCCAGGAATGGCAATCTGTTCGACATGTCCTTCTTCGATGCCGCCGTTATCCTTGTTATAGATATACACACTGAGCTCATCCCCCTGCTGGTAGTCATTGACGTAAGCTCTGTCGTGGTAACCATATCGCTCTGCTTTGCACATTGTAGTCAGAAACGTCTTGTTCTGAGACTCATTCTTCACAAGCATTGCCAACATGAAATCTCCCGGCCAGTCACGAGTTTCCCATGGCATCTCAAAAAGGACTCTGACTTTGGGGTGGGCTGCTCCTTCAACAACTTGCGCGGTGGGACAACCCGCACCCTTGGACACAATCAAGAGCGCATCAGCCACCTTCAAGGGTTCGGCCATCATATCGCTGTGGCAAAAATCGGCAGATCACCACAGAATTTGGGTCTGAAACTTGGATTTTCCGATACTTTTCCGACACTTCTTTACAAAAACACCCCAAGGTTCCATGGGGGTCCCTCCCCCCCGGCGCCTTCTTCTGCTCTCCAGGGCCCAGAGCTGCAAAAGCCTCCCGGACTTCTTCTGTGGTGGCCTTCTCTGCAGCCGAAACGACGGATCCTCCGGATCCCATGGCGCTGATTGGCGCGCAGCCTTCCGGAAAGCTGGCGAAAGGCTGACAAGGGCAGCCGATGTCGCGGCGACTGTGCCATTCTGTGCTATGCCATGGTGTTTCAACATGTTTCAACAGCATATCAATACGTAAAAATAGCGGGTCAATAGATGTAAAACTCTGGTACCTCAAAGGTTTTGACATTTTTGACCCACACCACATTTTGGCACCCTGCATAGTAGTCATCTATCAGCAACTGCTGCAACTCGGGTCAAGTCCTCGAGTCCGTCTGAGAGCCCAACAAGAACGGTGTCCACGGTGTGGATGTCGATGCCCAGAGAGTGGCAAACGGCAAAGCTGTTTTCCCAGCACAGGAAGCTTACAGTAACTATCATGATCGCCCGCTGAAAGCTGCAAACTTTGCAAAATATCGATAGAACGTTTAACGAAGAAATAAATAATATTGAAAGCCAACGATGAAGCATTGCACATGAACAAAAAACACAACACATAGGTACTGAAAAAGTTACCTATATGCTCCTCAGATCCATCTTTTATCATCTTTTCATATCTGCTGATCATTTTTCCCAAATGGCCTAGGGGATACTGATGATAATCCATATCAGAATTCTCAGGGTGTCATATGTTCATCAAAAAAGAGAGTTTAAAAAACGATACACATAGAATCTACAGTGAAACCGAGTGCCAAGTGGCTCTTCCTGCTGCTCCAGTCTCACTCGCTCCTTCTCTTCCAACTCTTCTAGCCGCTTCTCACGCTCTTCCTCAGGCAACCTCTGGGATGGCGTCAATTTGCTCGCGGCTGGAGAGAAAGATAGAGAAAGCCCATCTGAGGCCCAGTCAACTGCTCCGGAGCCAGCACGAAAAATAAGGATCTCAGAGGTCAATTCAAGGGCAAGCATCAGGTCAGAAAAGGCGCAGCCATGTACATCCTGGATATGTATGTATATATATATACATATGTATATATACATATATATATATATTAATCTCTCATATATAATAAAATCTCTCTATTTAATATGTATAATCATATATAATTTATCAAATATAGATGTAGACATCGCATTGGTCTTTGATTCAACATTGCACACTCAAATGAAATTGTTCGCATGGCACACTGCAGCAACCAGCAAGTATCCGAAGATCTGCGCCAATGGAAGGGGCTCCGGAATGTCACTGGCCTGGCTAAAACTGCTGCAGCAACTCCACGCTGAGTGCTGACATCTTAGCCCACGACCCGAGCGATCCCAAACCTGGAAGACCTGCAAGTCTCCGGGTCAAGGGTCAGCAAAGTCCAGGAATTTCACTTGAGTTCGTCCAAAGTTTGTGGCATCCATGTCCATCAGTGGTTTGCCATCCTTTCCCTGTAACAATCATTGAGAATAGCCATGGTTTACGCCTTTTTTGGGACACAGCCACATCAAAAGCAACAGGACTGACTGCCTCCGCTGCGTCTTTGACCTCGGAGTGCCTGGGTGGAGATGCCCCATTTTGAAACAAACCCAAATCCATTACCATGTCAGTTGAAGGAAAAGACGCCCTGTGATGGAAAAATTAGAAAAGGAGTTGAATTTGGATATAGTTTGATGTCGACCACGGCAAGTTGAAACGAGCGCCGTTTCAACTGAAAGGGAAAGAAGAGGCGGAGAACCTGCAAACTTAGGGGAAAATTTGGCTGTCCAGCCCTAAGTCTTAATGCCAAAGACCGTCAAAGCGAACAAAACATGAACCGTCGGGTCAACTCAAATCACTTTACTCTCTTTTGCCTAGGTTGTCGACGCACAGGCTCTGGTTCTGGCATCCAATCGGTTTCCTGCAGCTCCAAAAGTCGGATTTTCATGGAAAATCCTGTTTGTCACCGTCTGTCACCCTATTGCTCCTCGAAGTCATGTTCCGGTAGCTCACGGTATTCCTGATCAAAGATCATCAAAGCATGTAAATTATGTAAAGGCCATACCCTAAAGGCCATACCCTCTGATAAATTAACATAGATGTGGAGAATACATCCTTCATAGATCCTTTACTATTATAATTATGTGTATATATATATAATACAAGTATGAGTATATATTGGTGTTCCATATCTGTCTGTTTGATCTTTTTGTATCTTTTGCATGTTTGCCCCATGGTAAAAATGATCCGTGGCTGCCAACTCCCTGCTGCCGCGTCTCACCGGTATATGGGTTGTAGCCGATCTCTGCCCAGACCTGCCAATGGTTCAGAGTCACCGTGTCGTCTCTAAAAGGTCACTTAGATCCACTTGGGAAGGACCTCCTCGAGATCGCCAGGATTGTACCCAGCATTTTGATCCCAGCGCCAATTGCCAGGCCTGGTCCGACATGTCTGAATCGTTGTTACGAGTAGCAGCTCTTCAGAAGATGGCAATCATGTGGTATAGCAACCCAATGAAAAGATGCAGAGATGGCTAGTTGATCCCACTGAAGTAGCGATAAGTAGTTTGTCTGCGATAAGTAGTTTGTCTATCTTAGGGGGGTTCCTAATGGTTCCTATATATGGCTGTGTGTCTCAAAATGGGCCACTCTAGTGGAGAGAATGATGATAAGTCATGCCTACGGGGCTTCCCCCATTGTCACCGCTGTTTCCAAAAGTCACGCCTAAGTCATGCCTAAAAGGCTTTCCTGCTTGTCACCGCAATCATTCCGGCACTCATTCAATTGATGTGGTTTCAAACTGTTCTTGTGGCCAATGTATCATTTGGTCATGTTTCCCCCAAGGCCTTGCCGTAACCTGGCCTCTGGAACTCTGCCTCCCGCTCAGCTTCTGTCTTCCCCCTGGTCGACCGTCTCAAGTCAAACCTGGACCGGCCAGCGACAGGGGTCTGTCTAAAAGTGATGTATCAAATCATCAAATCATCAAATCATCAAATCCACTGGTTATCATCAAGTACCCCCCCATTTATCCCCATGAAATCCCCAATAATTGAGGGAACGCACACCATGCAGGACCCCCATGACCCAATGCAGGGCGCACCCCGTGAAGGGATCAGCTGATTCGGCTGATGTACTGGGACCTATGCGGCTGAAACTGATATGGAAAAGGCAGTGGCATCAACAAATGTGCTCCACATGTGAAAAATCATTGGATGAAAATCAGTTGTTGTTCAAATCTCTTGAACATTCATGATGTTCATGATTTGTTATGTCCAAGTGGTTTTCAAGTGGATCAAGTTAAAAAAAAAAAAACGTGGCATCTGCCACCAGCATCAGCTCAGGTTCGGGCGTCGCCCGCTGAGCAAAGCGTAGGCATCGAGGACTTTCCGGAACTCGGCCGATTCCGATCCACCTGGCTTCAAGGTCACGATGTGGGAGATATCGGGAAACTGTGAAATTGATATTTGGAACTGAAAAAAAAAATAGCCGAATATCAATTGTACTTCTGATATTGATATATATATATATATTTATTTATATATATTTGGAACTAATTGTATTAATATAATTTATGGAAGCCGCTGTCCATTGGAACTGGTCGCTGCTTTGTTCCGTGTTTTCGCCTTTGAGATCAGGATGAAGCCGAGCAACTTTCCGCCTCTGGGGACCATCTCCAACATCCAGGTGACATGTCTGAACGTGTCTTGGACATGTTCACAGTCACCATCCATTTTGGTAATTCATGCTACCCTCTGGTAAACTAACATAGCTATGGAAAATCACCATTTTTAATAGGTAAACCATCTATAAATGGGTTATTTTCCATGGCTATGTTAAATTACCAGAGGGTAAATGATAATAAATTACCATCCGAACATGGAGGTTGACATCTTTGCCATCAGCAGGGTTTCTACCTTCATTCATGGTCCTGCCATGGTCAAAACATTGTAGGTTTTGGTCATCTCACCATGAATGGGATTCCTTATTCTATTATATAAGGCCGATGGATTTGATGGATTGACGATCATCCCCATTATATTCCCATGAAATCCCATATCCCCATTTTTTTAGAAGTTCTAACCCCATTATGCCCAGCCCCTATTCCAATCCAACTCTGCGTTTATCCTTGGCTATATATCCCATGATATTCCCGTGATATTCCTACTAAATCCCTGTTTTTTTCATGGCGTACCAATGGCACCTGAAGGCCTTCTTCACCTCAGCCATCGCGGGGTCCGTGGCATCCAGCCCCAGCACTTGCAGCCTCGCACCAGCGTTGATCTCTGGATATACAGGGCGCATTATTATCATAATGAGGATACAATGATATTTATGTGTATATATATATATACATATTATTATATATATACATATTAAATATAATTATACATAATATATATAATTATACATATTATATATACATATTATATATGTATACATATTATATATACAGAACGGCCCCTCATGGGGGAGTGATTTTTGCTCTATATAACATCATTATTAGTATTATTATTACATATAATATATATATACATACATAATATAATATAACATGTACATTAATCAATATATATATATAATATATATATATATACATATACATATATATATATATACATATACATATATATATATATATTCGGGTCATAGAGTGGAATATAAACACGTCTTTATGATAATTGGGTGTGTCTGTGGGGTATGCTGTGTGCTCATAAACAGTTATATATTTTGGGAAAAGATGAAGACCATGGGATGGAATGCTACTTTGAAGCCTCTTCCCTCTCATTTCCCATCGCTTCCATTCGCTTTCTATCATTTCCTACAAGTATCATTTCTTATCCCCTTTCTGAAAAAACCCTGAAACGGCACCATTTCGGATTGAGCCCCTGACGCGCGCAACTTCTCTGACCGCGGAATTGAAACGGTCTCTGCTCTCCGGGACATCCGCTGTAGGCGAGCTATCCGGTGCGTCCTGAGCACTTCGTGGACGGTTTGCCCCACGAATTGGGAGTGGCAGGCCCCGTTTCTCATAGTTACAGACTTCGGCAAAAATGCCATGTTTTCATTGTTAGTTACGGAAACAGCACCATTTTTCATGGGAAAAATATGGGAAGTCACACCAGCCATTGGGCCATTGGGCCATTGGGCCATTGGGCCATTGGGCCATTGGGCCATTGGGCCATTGGGCCATTGGGCCATTGGGCCATTGGCTGCCAGGCCTCTGTGCCACAGAAAGCCAAGCCGGCCAAGGCCTTCCCAGGACAGCCAGCACAACCTTGGCGCTTGCCCCAAGAAAAACTAGATCACGGATAGTCATAGAGTCATTAGCTACCATGACTATGATGTGAACAGCTATTAGAAATTGTAACTATTGAATGTACTGGTTTGTACTAGCAATAATATCTATATTCGATGTTGGGATATTGTTGATGCCGGAGCTTGAGAATCGTTCTGTGTTCGTTCCCTTCAAATTGTGACGGGTGACAAGCAGCGGCGCACACCTGGAAAGCTTTGACCGCATCGTCCAGCGATCGCGTGACGTCTCTGGCACTCGCTACGGCCTTTTGTCTCTTGTGCATTGGTCATGTAGCCTCCATGAAGCGTGGGATATGATGGATATGTTTAGCAAAGATCCAAGCGGATAGGTGTCCATTCCCGTCTCTATCTTAAGCAAATGGTTCTACCACTTGAGCGTGAGCGGCTGGCAAGGACGCTGGATTTAAGCCCGGTTGCATCAAGATTAGGCCTCAGGCCTTGTCAAACAGTGGTTGTGCTGCCGATGCTCGGAACTCAGCTGCGACTTGCAGAGATCGCCAGCTTTTCAGGAAAATCGATCCAATCACGAGAGCGGTTCGCCTATCGTCCCCTTTAGGGCGAGGGCTGCGGCAAATGACATGTCTACTCTTTGGACATCTCCTGCCAAGGCGTGGGACCAGAAATGTCTAGCAAGGAATGCCACACCATGCATCACAGCTCTGCTGATACAAACCTGTCCTCCTTTTTTTGCGATGCTAGCATGCTTGCGGCCTCAAGACTTTCAGGACTTTCGTCAGAAAAGCTGTGGGAAGTCAAGCGCTTCCTTGTCTGGCATGCTTTCATGGAAGAAGTCCAGCATGGGAAGTGTTCAAAACCAAGGCAGGACCCACAGTTGTGACTCAGAGGTGGGCTTTCTCAATGCCCCAGCGGCGAACCAAAGAAGCACCTTGCCCCAGATTTGGATCGATCCACCAGCGGGATCCAGAAAAATGCCGATTTCCAATGAATTTCATTGGTTTTAACCCGTCCCCAAGGAACAATGATAGATAATTATTATATAACACGGATCTGTTGTTATGTGGGCCCAAATTTAAACCCCAGCTGAGCGATGGCACATCCTCTGGCAGCATCTCGAAAGCGCAAGCGTTCAGAAGCCCCGGCATCATCTCGATGCATTGCCTTCTGGCTTTGCCCAACATATAGTGGCATGAAATCATGCGCAATATGGTGCTATTGACATCTTGATAGAAAAACCAACTGATGAAACCATTAATCACCATTAATCATCATTAACCATCATTAACCATCATTAACCACCATCTTGAAAACTGTCTTAATTCTTGGGGTGCCTCATTTTGTGGGACATGTTTGGACAACTCCCCACCGGCACGGCATTGAGGAAAGGACACTTTGAAGTGCCCAGGCAGGCAACCGACACTCGTCCTGGAGAGGGTTGCGCACAATAATGGACAAGGATAATTTTTCTGTCAAATCTCCAAAGACGTCTTGATGCCTTCCCAGATAAATTTTGAATACGTCTTGGTTTCTAGGCCTCCCCATTCATTTATTGCTAGTGTTACACAAGCATGCACAAGCCATATATAATATTATAATATTATATATAATATATATATATTATATATATTATATATATATACATCTCTGCAGTGCAGTTTCCAGTCGCATCCTCACTGCACAAGGCTGTGATTGCGTCCTGCGACATGCTCAGACTGAGATGCAAACTAAACCCAGCGCTGCCACAATCAGAAGATAGAGATGGGCTGAATTGGCCAGCAATGTAGGCACTGGCAAATGAAGAAACATCTGGAAGGGGTGCATCAGGAAAGACGAAGGGGCTCAGTGCCTCTTGAAACAACCAAACAAATCGATGACAGGAATATGTCTGGCAGTGCATTTCCAACAAGAGCTTTTTACCTGCATTCGTCAGCCTCAATACCCATATCAGGCCGCTGAAAAAAATGTAGAGATCCACTTGGAGAACCATGTTCGATTGGAAGGGAATCTTGCGAAGCAAGTCAACATTTGAATGTATACTGAAGTACACTGGTAATTCAAGAGGTTTGAGGAAGTCTCGCAATCAAATAGCATAGCTCTCACGGGCACCGAGAGAACAGCATATCAGCTGAAGGGCGAAAGGCTTCTTCAACCATCCCAGTTACCCAAAGAAAGGTGATTCCAAAAACCATGCCAAATGAGGCTGCAAGCGTGCAGACTTTTCCAGTCCTTTGCCAATGGAGCCCACTTTTTGGCCACGCTCCAGTCTACACCAAGCCGAGCTGCCACTCCCTGCAGAAGAGAGAGAGAGAGAGAGAAAGATCAACAGCCTTTGGCACATCTAAGCTTAAGCAGACTGCTGCCCTGCCTTGACCAAAACAGAACTGAGTGCAAACGAGAAGTGCCAAGCCACGCAAAAGTCAGTTGCAGGAACTGCGTGGAAAATATTGGAACTAGAGATCCTGGTGCCAGGTGCCGGATGTTGTTCTATGTTTTGCTAAGCCCAGCACGCTCTTCCCAAAAGCACCAGCTCCATTGGAAATGACTTCAGCCTAAGCATCAACAGACTTTGCAGCAATAGGATGCTCTCACTCAGAACATCTAAGAAATCTAAGATAACTTTAATCTCATTTTCTCAGTGACCTGGACTTTGGGTCAGAAATGCAAGCTATACGAACCATGAGGGGTGTGAATAACTCGTCCATTCAATCGCGAGTTTTCAGAGTTCCCTGCTGTCGTAGTGGGCTCTTGGAGGAGAACTCCTCTTTGGAGTAGCCACCAGGAAAGATCACATCCTTCTCACCAAACAAATACAGTGCAACGCTCGCCTCAGCAGTGGAGCAGTGGAGCAGTGGAGCAGTGGAGTGGCTAGCGAACGGTGCAAAATTCACCGTCGTTATCAAATATCATCAGTTTCCATAAGTTTCCGAGGCGAAACGAATCTTTTTACTTCCTGACTTCCTGAATTTCCTGAATATCAAGGCACTGCGCAGGCATCCTCATCCTCCTGACCTGGGCAAAATGGGATATTCCCCCCCGTGGCCATTGGAATGGAAAAAGATCAAGCAGTGGAATTGGGTACCCAATTTTTAAACCCAAATAATTAGCTCAAACATGAAGTCAAACAATGCAAACTACTAAAATCATCTATTGTTCATTGTGATTAGACCTTGAAAGTTCCTTTCACTATGCCCCCCACCATCAAAGAATGTCACACCGAATTTGCGTACGCAGTTTGCCTCCGCGGCAGGCAAACAGCGAAGAGCCAAGCATTGACACTCTGTTTTTTTAATAGGGATTCTGAATATTCAGGAACCCGAAAATATATGCAAACAATCATTGTTCAAACAGAATCTATATAAGACATGCCTATGGAACAGGACAAGTCCAAACCCCGGCCAGGGCTCGGACCAGCAGCTCAACCATACCACGGCTGCCGTCGTATATTGACGCCGCTAAGATTGCCTAGCAGCACACGTTTGGGTTTGTCCGAAAATGGGGGATGGCCCGAAACCGCAAGTTTAATGAGGAAAATGGTCTGAATATTTCAAACAAACACATCCAAACTTCTTTGTCTCAGAATCCTAGAACTGAACAAAAGGCCAAACCATGGGCAGCACTGTACCGCACATAGAGGCCATGTAGTACCCGTATCATCCTGTATCCATCAGTAAATATTCAATTTTTGTAGAGTCATCTCCCCTAGCATTGCCTCGGCAACTAGGAGTCGCTGCTCACGGAAGAGTTGAGCTACCTGGCAATCCGTTCCCACTGTGCGATTCTGCTCAGCAGGTTGACACGAGTTCACCTGGCCGCAGTCGATGAGAGCCACTTTTCCACCCTCCAAGATGAAGATGTTCCTGCCGATGCTTCAAAGCCCCAGCTGCCCTACTTGATGCCTTTCCGAATTGAGGATCGCACCCTGGATGTGGGTCGCCGTGAATAAAGCCTGAGGAGAAGATCATTCTGCCTCAGCAAAACTATTTCTCACCGAGAACCCGGACGGACCCTCAGCCATTGAGCCAGCGGCCATATGCTGTGGTCAAGGCTTCCAGGATCTGTCGTCCCAACATCTGCCGTCCAAGTCAAATGTAAGGAGAGCACAGCAACATATCGAGACATATTCGAGACATTTATGCGAGGTTGGGTGGCACACGAGCAAGGACGACCACAGCAACTGCACGGATGTTTTACTAAGATCAGAGCCGCCGGGGTTACCAGAGCCATCCGATCCAATCGAAGCAATGGGAAACAAAGCTGTTAGGGGGACAGCTAATCTGAGGCTGGAATTCAACCAACTGCCTCCACCCCATCAAATCTCCCCTTTGGAAGACTTTGAGAAACCAGCAAACCTGGCATATCCTAACATAAAACACCTACCAGCGTTTGGTAGTCTGATCCGCTGCAATAATCGGTGGAGCCGTTGACGTCCGTTGTAGTTGTAGGGTTTTCTCCACATTGACCTTGCCGAAGATGTAAAAACAAATAGAAATAAAAAACTGATAGAAGATGTGGATGGCAACATCAAAAATGTCGGTGAAATCTTTTGAGCAAGGCCAAATGATTCCAATTCAGTCGCTGAACACCTTCATTTACAGTTGTTTCATGTTTTTCCCGAGAGCGTCTGAGCGAAGGGTTCTTCTAATACTGTAGTGGGGGTCTGTCACACATTTTCACATCTTCAAATCTTCTCATCCTCACATCCTCACATTTCCACATCTTCTCATCTTCACATCCTCACATCTTCGCATCTTCTCATCCTCACATCCTCACATCTTCACATCTTCTCATCTTCACATCCTCACATCTTCACATCTTCACATCTGCTCGTCTTCACATCTTCTCATCTTCACATCCTTAGATCCTCACATCTTCACATCCTCTCATCCTCACATCTTCTCATCTTCACATCTTCTCATCTTCATATCCTCACATCTTCACATCTTAACATTCTCTCTTGCCCTCTTGCTCTCTTGTCCTCTTGCTCTCTTGCCCTCTTGCTCTCTCCTTCTTTTCTATTTCTCTCTTGAAGGCGCGGGGCAGTGCCAACGAGACGGCACGAAACGCAACCCTTTCGCACGAAACGAACCTGAAGTTCGATCGCCAAAACTGAGGTAAAATTGCGATTTCACAACTTCCGCGGCAACCCTTTCGCACGAAATGACGTTCGATCGCCAAAAACTGCGGTAAATTGGCGATTTCACGACTTCGGCGGCAACCCTTTCGCACGAAACGAGGTTCGATCGCTAAAAACTGAGGTACAATTGCGATTTCACAACTTCGGCGGCAACCCTTCCGCACGAAATGAGGTTCGACCGCCAGCAAAAGCATCTGTGTGTCACCGTGTCTGTGTGTAAAAGCTTCTGTGTGTAAACGTGTTTGTGTTTAAACGCGTTTGTGTGTAAACGTGTCTGTGTGTAAAAGCTTCCGTGTGTAAAAGCTTCTGTGTATAAAAGCGTCTGTGTGTAAAAGCGTCCGTGTGTAAAAGCTTCTGTGTGCAAAAGCTTCCGTGTGTACAAGCGTCTGTGTGTAAAAGCGTCCGTGTGTAAAAGCTTCTGTGTGTAAAAGCGTCTGTGTGTAAAAGTGTCTGTCTGTAAAAGTGTCTGTGTGTAAAAGCTTCTTTGTGTAAAAGTGTCTGTGTGTAAACGTGTCTGTGTGTAAAAGCGTCTGTGTGTAAAAGTGTCTGTGTGTAAAAGCAGGATTGTTTAAAAGTGTCTGTGTAAAAGCGTCGGTGTGTAAACGCTTCTGTGTGTACAAGCTCCTTGGTGTAAAAGCTTCTGTGTGTAAACGCGTCTGTGTGTAAAAGCATCTGTGTGTAAAAGCGTCTGTGCGTAAAAGCTTCTGTGTGTAAAAGCTTCTTTGTGTAAAAGCGTCTGTGCGTAAACGCGTCTGCAAAGAGCCCATGCAGTATTGCCTGTGCGGATAGAAACCCCAGCAGCACTCGAAATTCTTTGAGCCGATTTTGTACTGCTTCGACAGCGCGCAATGGTTTGACTTCCCTCTGGCAAACCACTGTTTCCGGCTCAAGCGCCATCTTGGAGATGTCTTTGGTGGTGTTCATGTTCTTCTTTTCTTTCATCTCCCGCAATATCCTTTGACACTTCTGCAGCCACGCCCTCTTCTTGCTATCAAAAACTTATGGTGCCGCAGGACATTGGAGTATGGCCCTCGTCTTGTGTTTGTGATATATTGTCTTGATACTACTCTTCTTGTCTGCTTATAATACATCTTTGATATATTGTTGTGCCATATAATATCTCCGTACTAACAACAGAAGACTCTGCTACTCTACGCTCTCGGGCCATCCGTCGTCTAGTTTTCGTTTCAGCGTGGACTTTCCGGCCCAGTGGCGCTGTCCACTCGCACACAAGTCACCTGTTCGACACAGAGCGCTGATTGAGTCTACAGCCACAGAGCTGAGACGAGATACTCTACCACGAAATGAACAATGATTTACCTTGATTGGGGGTTTTCACTGCCACTCATCCACGTAAACAATCTCAACTGTTCATGGTTTTGCCCTTGAGTAAACTTCAATGAATATGTTCAGTCATATATCCTGAATAATTTTGTCATACAAAGAACATACCAGTGGTGCCGCACAAGGCGGTGGCGGAAGCTTCAAAGATAGGAAACTATAGGAGAGGTGAGTTGTTGTGATGCATGGATGGCAGAGCGAATCCACTGATGGACCGAAAGGTGGCTGTGATTTTTATAGTGGTTGCAGTGGTCACCTCACCCACAACTGCAGGATGTAGTGTGGTGTAGCGAAGTGCAAAAGAATTTTATTTGTAGCTGTAGTTGTAATGTGTGTTGTAGTTCTAGTTGTAGTGCAGTTGATGTTGTTGATATTGTAACGTTGCTGTTGTAGTTGCAGTTCTGGTTGTAGTTGTAGTTGTAGCGTAGGTGAAGTGTAGTTGAAGTTGTAGTTATAGTAATTGTAGTCATTGTAGTAGTTGCAGTGGTTGTAGGAGTGACATTGTAGTTGTAGCTGTAGTTGTAGTGTAGCGTAACTGTAACTGTAGCTGTAGTTGTAGTGTAGTTGCAGTTGCAGTTGTTGTTGTAGCTGTAGTTGTAGTGTAGAGTAGTGGTAATTGCTGCTGTTGCTGTAGCGTAGTTGAAGTTGAAGTTGTAGAGTAGTTCTTGGTAGTAGTACTTGTAGCTGTAGCTGTAGTTGTAGTGTAATGCAGTGTAGTTGCAGTTGTAGCTGTAGCTGTAGTCTAGCGTAGTATGGTGTAGTGTAGTGGTGTAGTTGTAGTGTAGCTGTCGTTTTGGTGTAGTTGTAGTGTAGTTGAAATCTAGTTGAAGTTCTAGGTGTAGTTGTAGCTGTGGTGTTGTGTAGCGTAGTGTAGTCGCAGTTGTCTATCTGTCTGTCTATCTATATATATATATATGTTTATCTATCTGTCTTTCTGAGTCTATCTATATATCTGTCTATCTGTTTATCTCTCTATCTGTCTGTCTGTCTGTCTATCTGTCTGTCTGTCTATCTGTCTGTCTGTCTGTCTATCTATCTGTCTTTCTGCAAGCTTGAAAACGAAGCTATTCTGCGAAACTTCCTCAAGTTTTGAACTTGACAACATCAAAAAAAAGCGGCAATTCTGGCGAAGCTTCCTTTAAAAATGGAAAGTTGAGTGCAGAGCTGACAGACTCGTACCAATGCGTTTTGGGATTTTGTCACTCCATCTGTCTAAAGCACTGCGCCTGCCACGAAAAAATGAAGCCAAGTCATACGAAGTGCTGCACCTGTCACGCAAAGTCATCTTAGCAAACCTGACGATCCGATGCACCAAAATGCAACCCCTCTCAGGAAATCAGCACCCTCGTCTATTAACATCTCTGGTGAACATGTCTCTTGTACTGCACCTGCCATGCGAAATGCATCTTTGCAGATCCTCTCCAAATGTCCCAAAGTGTTTGAAACTGACAAAACCCTCACGTTTTACTCACTTTTGGGAAGGTGCAAAATCCCTTGCGCCTGCGACGCAAACCACATCCTAACCTCAAAAAGTGCTCCGAGACCGCCTTTGTTTTTGTTAACACTTTTGACTTCGACATGTGGTTTGCACCACAACGGCGTGCACTTTTACAACATCTCAACTTCCAAAAGTGCTCCGAGCATGGTGTGCTTTGCACATTTTGCCTTGGAAATGTGCTTCCCGCCACAACGGCGTGCACTTTTTCATCATGTCAACTCTCAAAAGTGGTCTGATATACCGTCAGTTTTTTCACTTTTTACTTCCACATGTGCTTCGCGCCACGATGGCGTGCACTTTTTCATCATCTCAACTTCCAAAGCGCTCCGACGACGTTGAGGTGTTTTAGGCAAGCAATTTTTCATCTCTCATCTGGCCACATGGCTCCGCACCCGCGACCTTCCTGCGCCACAAAACATTGGAAAAACACAGTGTTTCGCGACTTTTCTACCTTTTCGCGCACCTGCATCTTCTTTCTTCTGACTCTTTCTCTTCTCTGACTTTTCCCACCTCTGCTTTTCCATCTGTCCATATTGTCGGAAGTTTGCCTTCTGAACTTCCTTCGGTAAAGTATCTGAAAACAGTCATATTATTTCTTGTCACTGAACAATCTGAACATAGGGTATCCCTGAATTCCACTAGTCTATCATCATATTCTCCAATACTTTTTTACTATAGGCAGGTAATGGGGGTATACCTCATGGCACTACGCCTTCTGTGGCACCGTCAGCTCCTGAAGCGCAGTACAAAGGTCCTGCCAATCAATGCTGAGGCTGAGGGGTTCACCATCAAAAATATGGGGACACGAATCGAGCATCAAACTAACTTTGAAAAGGGTCTTGACCTTGATTCTTCTCTGCAAAACATAACAGCTCTCTTTACACACAACCTTTGAAATGCGACACTGAGAGTACACTTAGTGCGCCTCCGGTTTGTCGTGCTCCGCACACAGTTGCTCTAAGCGCGCAGGAGTAATCTCTAATGCCTGTCACAGAAAAATGTTGTCGTTGACCGGAGCCATACTCCCAAACACTGTACTGTGCACATGTGGGATTCTCCAGAAGAACTAGGGGATTTACATGGACTTACTCTCCCGAAATCGCAACTTTTCATGAAAATGATTAACCATAATCAAATGTGTGGATACTCCATGTTTGGACATGTTTGGACAAACTCCTGGCCAATCCAAAATCTGTGCCCTGCATGCGCGTGGAGGTCTGGCACCTTGGCCTGGTCATTTCCGTCCAGTAGCAAGCAAATACCTCGGAGAAAATCAAAACGAACGCTGGATCGCAGTATCAACAGTTCATGGAACAAAAAGTGACATGTTATTACATGTTACATGTACAACACATAGAGAGAGAGAGAGAGCGAAAGAGTTACGCACAACACATCTATAGTCTACATCACATGAACGTGCATGCGTGTGTGTCCGCGAGTGTTGAGACTGCAGAATCTCTTTCTTGAAATGCCGCAAAATAACGCGCTGCCATCTCCAAATCCAGCTCCTGGTGCTTGGCTGCGTCAGAGATGACACATCTCACAGAATTTGCACCTCTCTACGAAGTTCGTGTCCTGCTGGAAGTAGTGGGCAATCATTTTGCAGGCCTGCTCACCCACCATGTAGTTCAAATGGAACATCTTATCGATACGGCCAGGTCCTTGGTCCCATGTCGACATAGACCATCTATACCATATAGTGAGATGAAATAACTGAGTAATATCTTGCAATATATTGTAGGATCTTGTAGTACTGTGTTGTCTATTGTAGCATATTGTCGTATATTGTCGTATATTTTAGTATTTTGTCAAAGGAAGTTGGGAAGCAATCTTCCGAGTGAGTTACGAATGACTGGAATAGCAAAAACAATACATCACATAACAATACGTCACACAACAATACATCACATAACCATACATCACACAACAGTACATTACACCACAATACATCACACAACAATATACATCACACAGCAATACATCACATAACAATACATCACACAAAAATACATCCAATGACAATACACAACAACAATACATCACATAACAATACATCACACAACAATACATCACACAACAATAAACTACATAACAATACATCACACAACAATACATCACATAACAATACATCACACAACAATACATCACACAACAACACATCACACAACAACACATCACATAACAATACATCACACAACAATACATCACACAACAATACATCACACAACAATAGATAGATCACGCAACAATACATCAAATAACGATATATGCGCGGTTGCAAATCGCATTGCAATGGCTGCATGGATGTGCACATGCTGCTGAAAAACGCATTGTAATGGCTGCATGAATGTTGCATGGGGCTGGTTTTGGGGAGGAAGCCGGAGCACGAAACCGTATGTTTTTCGGGGTAAAGTGGCTGGAGCCGGCGATGAAGGGTACCTTGTGTGTGCGGTGGTTGCCGCTTGGATCGCTTCGAGGTCAATTGGTTCCTCTTTGGTGTTCTGCAACGTGGGGATGCAAATCGCATTGCAATGGCTGCATGAATGTTGCATGGGCCCGGTTTTGGGGAGGAAGCCGGAGCACGAAACCGTATGTTTTTCGGGGTAAAGTGGCTGCAGCCGGCGATGAAGGGTACCTTGTGTCTGCGGTGGTTGCCGCTTGGATCGTTTCGAGGTCAATCGGTTCCTCTTTGGTGTTCTGCAACGTGGGGATGCAAATCTTATTGTAATGGCTGCATGGATGTGCACGTGGCGCTGCAAAACGCATTATAATGGCTGCATGAATGTTGCATGGGGCTGGTTTTGGGGAGGAAGCCGGAGCACGAAACCGTGTCTTTTTTCGTGTAAAGTGGCTGCAGCCGGCGATGGAAGGTACCTCGTGTGTGTGTGTGAGTCAAACCCTGTTCCAAAGGGCGGTTCGTTTTTTGCGATTTTTGTTCTGCGGTTTTTCAGACCAATGATCAAAACAGGGGGACTGCCTGACTTGTAGCAGTGGCAGTCCAACGAAGAGGCTGTTACAAGTCACTGAAATGGATTCTGGACGCAGAATCCACGTACCTGTTTTGAAGTGTAGAACCTTTTGTTCAATTTTTTCTTATCATCACGGCAAGGTGGCCAAGCCAGAAACCACCCACGTCGATTACGGCAATACAAGGCCTTCCAGGGAATTTTCCCGTTACTCAAAAGAGTTACAAAAAACCAACGACGACATGCGGTCTTGCAAGTGTGTTTCGGCCGCGGTTCCGTCATGGTCCGGTCGTGATCCTGGTTTTGCCAGGCTAGTGAAGTCCTCCAGTTGATTGACCTGTTCGCAGGTTCTGATGCTCTTTTCGTGAAATATGTCTGTCCCTGTCAGGCTCCAGCAACAGGGGAAGTGTGTTCATCTTCTGTGTGTCAGAAGCATTGATTCAGTGAAAACTTTGAGCTGATTTTGGATTAGGTGCAATATCTAGTCCTGCCTCTGAAGTGATGTGAATGATCCCATGTTGCATGTGAAAACTTCGGGTGCTTTGCCACCCTTGAATTGTCCGGGTGTATTGATTGCCACTTTTTGGCCTCTGATTGAACCACCTGTTTATCGGATCATGATTTCACTGTCAGTTTACAACAAAGTAGTGTTTTTCATTGTTCACTCGGTAGTGTTTTTTTAATTCGTGCCATGTCGTACCATATCTATTTCATTGCGGGTGACTTCGATACAAGTAGACCGCAGGCAGTACCCGAAGCATCAACAAGACCACAGGCCATTACATTGACAAGAGATCATCCAGTTGTTCCTGCACCAGTGGCTTCACACATGGTTCATCGTCCACGTCCATCTGTTCCTGTACGACCTCGTCCATCAACTCCCATATCACTGCCTGTTCCCCCACGTCCAGCAACATTGATACCGCCAACACCTACTGCATTGACCTCCCGGACACCTCTACAAGGACCACCAATTCGTTCCCCAACCTCCTACATCATCACCATTGACATCACCACCCGCACCAACAATAACTACAGTCACAGATCAAGCAGGACAACAATTCCCTACAGACATTATAGCATTCGGGCCAAGGTCAGCATCCGCAACAACACGGAGCAGGTCGCCATTACCTAGACGACGCAGGCGCCCAAGTCCAGACCGTCATGTTGAACATCCTTTGTCTAGACCACCAGGGACGACAACGAGCTCACGGGAGTTTGGTCACCGTACTCACCGCTTCCACACCGTATTCCGCATTCCCATTACCAACAAGACCAGACAGAGCTATCACCACTCAAGAGGCAGATTTCAGAGCGTGGCTTCGACAGCAACAAGATCCAAACCATCCTATGACTTCTGAGCAGCTCAAGTATGTAGCCAGCAGTTTGTGTCTAGCGCAACTAGATATAGCTCAGCTTAGACCGTTGCAAGTTTTTGAATTTGATCCGACTTGGACACATCCACTTTGCGAAGATCCTCCAACCATACAATATTTCTATGTGTTACCTATTCTGCAATTCAAATCCCGACTCGGTTTTGGAGAGGATATTCCTCCAAAGCCACGTAGAGCACTTAACGCTGATGGTCGTGATGCTATTGAACATATACAATTAGTTCACGCAACCTCACCCAGAGGTCTCAGAGGGATTTTAACGGAAGCAAAGCTCCGACCCTCAAAACTACATCAAGCGGATTCGTGTTCATTCTTTGCTATTGGGTATAGGAAATCCTTTGACCTTCAACAAGATCGTTGGGAAACAGCCCGGGTACTTAATTCAGGTTGGCAAGCGAGCAAGAACACAGCTCGCATTTTGGTCTTGTGTTTAGGATGGGGCGACGGAAAAACTTTAAAGAAGGAGGTGAAGCCCCTTGTATTGAACATACTCGGCATGGAGGTATTTGCCACCACTGGCGGGCAAAATTTTGGGTCTGTTCAACCCGTACGCATTACATCAATGCTTTGGCGTGGAAGTGCGATGCCACTCCACCAGCAGAATCACTGCCATAAGACGCGGGCACATCTTTCCGAGTGCAAAAAAGACCAATTTGCTACTTGTTTCTTTTATGTGCTGATCCGCCTCATGTCTCGATGCTTCTGTTAGAAGATCTTGTTTTTCTTCTCGTGTCACTTCTTTTTCAAAGCAGTTTTGCTCTTAGGTCTCGTTTAGACCGGATCTATCAATATGACCTACAACTGGTCATCGTGGAAAGATTATCAAAATTCGTCATAGTCGCAATGGTCGTCGTATGGACCTCCTCTTCCGTCGTCATGGAAACAAGATGACACCCATCATGACTTAAACCTGGCTCATGGGTATCCATTGTTTCGCACTATTCAACCTACTGCTTGGAGCCGTAAAAAGGGTATTCATGGTCTCGATCCTCTTGAACTTCCAGTACATCAGCTTTGTCGTTATGGACTTCAAGGTCTTCGCCCTTTGAGTGCAGGCAGGTTTGTAGGTTTGGTGTGCACCAGATCGGTGGCAGAATCCGTGTTTACTGCTCAGTTGTTGAAGAGCATGCGGGAGAATGCGGTCGACATTGACATCATCGCAGATCACTTGCATCAGACCAATTCACCAACAACGTCGACTCCATCAAAAAATGACCAACTAGTTGAGTTCATTGCTCCGTTAATTCATGAAGTGGTCACAAAGCTTAAAGCCTTGCAGCCACAGAAGACTGAAGGTCAAGCGCTTCGACGTGTACAGGCTTTAGAAGCGCAGCTCAAAGCAGCGCAAGATCAGTTGGCAGCCGCAAGTCTTTCAGACCAACCTCAAAGCCATACAAGTTCTCCGAACCCACCACCTAAGCGTAGCCCTAGTTCTGCACATTTAGGTAGCACGCCTAAACGAAAGGCAAGAAAAACTGGGGAGACGGCTGAACAGAAGTTGTCCAAGATGTTCCCGCCTCAAGAGGCATCGGCACCTTCGGTGCCAGCGGCTGCAGAAGACGTCCGCCGAACCCCAGGGTGTATTTCTGATGGTGATGATGGTTCGTTGCTTTCCGTGTCGAAAATTTTGGATGCTTCTTCTCCTGTGCTCAAACAGTACCAACCTGGAGGCTTTTCGGCGGCTACCATCAAAAAATGGTTTCAAACATTCCCGACGGAGACCCAGCAACCTGCGAAGAAGATCATACAGATTTTGAATGATTCGGGTGTCACAAAAACAGATCTTCAGCAGGCAGCCATACAATATGGCCTTCCCATGGATATGTCATTGAAAATGACACCATCCACTTTGCACCAAATTGTTGCCATTGGTGCTAGTTTGACTGCTTGACTAGTTCGTGATCATGAAAGCATGAATGTGGAAGTTTTGCTTTCCATGATTGACATTCCGCGCTCAGCGTTGACTCATTTTGTGCATTCTGTACCTTTCATGTCGAAAGGACCAGCAATGTGGAGCCTGAGCATTTTGCATGTCATTTTGTTGACACGTTACTCAGCTCCCACATTGACTACTCGTCAATGGCGCAACCGTTTAAAAGAATTTAGGCATCTCACCACATATGCACACTTATCCGTCTTTTCAATCCTCACATGTGGTCTATGTCAAGATGCCGTTTCACCCACCTGACCAGAAGCGGAGGTGGTACACGCAGTCCGGACATTTTTATGTCGGTTCCACTGCCATCTCAGCAGTGAAATGTGAGTTCGATAGGTTTGCAAAATTGAAACAAATTCGGCGCAACCTCGCAGTTCATGCTGAACTGTCAATCTGCTATTGGAGCAGGACAGATTTTGAATCGTACACGTGTATTGTTTTGCAAGCATGCACAACGTACAACGATGCCTGGGTCCGTGAACATTTGTTAATTAGCTCTTGGCAACCTGCTTTGAATCATCCCTTCATTTTAAAATTTCTCAAACTAAAATCTGAAGGTTGGATGATGCAGTTACGAAAAAATCGCCAGGGTCCAGTTAAATTGAGTCCGAGATTGTATCAAAGAGTTCGACGACGCTTGTTTTCTCTTGGATCGGTGCCGTCACCTCATTCGTTTCAAGAACAAGCTTGGAGAATTGTGTGCCAAATTAGCCTGTTCACACGAGCGAGCTATGAAGCATGCAAGCGAATTCGATCAGGAGAATTTCATACCCTGGAAGTTTATGCGTTGTACAGGCCGGCCAATCACATGGAAGAACCCGGTAGATCTAGAGTCAAAAGTTTGATTGGAAAAGCGTTGCTGTTTCGCAACGCCACAGTTCCAAAAAACAATTTGCCATTGCATATTCCGTTTTTGGCCCTTGACAATTTTCGAACGAATCTTGAGACTTGGATTCGGCAGCTCATTCTACAACATAAGAATGTTGCAATTCCTCTCGTTCTACCGACTCATCGACTCAGAGAACAAGGTTTCCCCAAGTTGAGCGAAATTCTACACAACCATCGAAAAGTGGAAAGACGATGGATAACTTCTGACATCGAAAATCTACCTTGCTGCTGTAAAGAACTACGTTCTATAGCAAAGCAGCACATACACAAGACAGGGCATGTCGCCATCAACTTGGACGACGTCAACTTGCCATCAAAACTACACATTTTCGCCAACGCCAACGCCAATTCTACGTATTTTCATTCTCGGTCACAATATTTTAATATATGTTCAAACGCGATCATTCGTTGGCTGAAACATCATGGATTACCACCTCAATTGGCTTTCAAGTTTTTGGAGAAGATCACCGCAGAATGGAAGCTTCATTTGGATGCCATTGACAATTTACATCAATTTACCAAGATTTTCTTTTCATGCTGTTCAACATCTTTTACATTGGCTCCCCAAGGACTGCGTGATTCATCATGGTGATCATGAACAATTTCGTTTGACCTTATTTTGTCCTCAGCTATATTTTCAAGGTGCACTCAATACCTGGAAGGATCCGGAACTTTTTGAACAACTACCCATTTCTCCACAAGAAGCGCAACTTCGTATTCAACAGGCTTTTCCCACTTACTTGGTCAGGACATATCCATGGGGCTTTCGCAAAAAAAGCCGCCTTGCCATATGGTTTTGTCTTTTTGAAACGGAAAAAGATTGGAGCAAAGGTAGGACTCTGATCAGTTCTTTTCAGAGCTATCAGTCCACATTGTTGAAAGCAGTGTCACGCTGTTTAGACTCCATGCTCCGAGAAGTTTGGCCTCAACAATTAGGGCAACAGAGTGTTCCTGAAATTTGGAACACCATTCATTTGGCATTTCGTGAGATTCCCGAAGAAGTTCATTTGCAATTTTTGAATGATGATTTGGTAAGTTTTTTCAACTCTCTTCCGCAAAACAGACTTCTCGATGCAGTCCATGCATTGATCATATCATGGAAAGAACGTCACCCAGGAGATCTCTCAATTTCAGCAGACTTGTCAGCAACAGGAGACCCGATACAATCAACATTTGCAGGCACTTACAAAAAATCAGCCTACAACATCAGGTCCATCAAAGTTGACGACCTCTTCATCATTGTGAAGGCTAGCCTTACCAGTCACTATTTCAGCGCACTTGGAAGTATTTGGCGACAAATCCGAGGAGCTGGTATTGGGAGTCAGATTAGTCCGACCATTTCCAACCTTGCCGTCACCATGGTGCAGCGAGCGTGGCAACATTCATTTCAGGCGTTCTTCAGTCAGAAATTATTGAACTTTGCCTCAATTAGATATGTTGATAACCGTTTTGCCGTTTTGGGTTCTGTCATTGCCAGGTCAGATCCAATTGCCATTTATTCTGACCCGGGTTTTTATGGACACCCAGTCGAGCTGAAAAAGGTGAATGATTCCATGCTCCTGGGATTCAAAGTTTCCGTTGCCGAAAGAACTGTGACTTATCAATGTCCTAATCAACAACAAATTCGAGATATTGCATCAGCTGGGTCTATCCGTCTCAGGCTGAGCGGCTTGAAAAGCCGAGCTCACCTGATTAGGAAATACTCGTTTCCGCCTTCAGCAATTGAACCTATAGTTACGTCAGCTTGCACGGTTGTATGTACAGCAGGGTTTTCTCCGTCCGAAGTATACCTTGCCGTTGGACTCCGGTGAAGTCAAAAAATGGTTTCGGCGACATACGGCCTTGGTGTGTGAGTCAAACCCTGTTCCAAAGGGCGGTTCGTTTTTTGCGATTTTTGTTGTGCGGTTTTTCAGACCAATGATCAAAACCGGGGGACTGCCTGACTTGTAGCAGTGGCAGTCCAACGAAGAGGCTGTTACAAGTCACTGAAATGGATTCTGGACGCAGAATCCACGTACCTGTTTTGAAGTGTAGAACCTTTTGTTCAATTTTTTCTTATCATCATGGCAAGGTGGCCAAGCCAGAAACCACCCACGTCGATTACGGCAATATAAGGCCTTCCAGGGAATTTTCCCGTTACTCAAAAGAGTTACAAAAAACCAACGACGACATGCGGTCTTGCAAGTGTGTGTGTGTGTATGCGGCGGTACCCGTATCTGCCAGCTTTGTACTCCAAACTAATACTGGGAAGTGCTTTGCGCAAGCTTTGTAGTACAAAGTATAGTACTGGGAAGTGCTTTCTGCAAGGTTTGTAGTACAAAGTAGTACTCGGGAAGACTCTGTGCAAGCTTTGTACTTACAAAGTATAGTACTGGGAAGTACTTTGTGCAAGCTTTGCAGTACAAAGTAGTTAGTACTGGGAATTACTCTGTGCGAGCTTTTTAGTCCAAAGTAGTACTGGGAATTACTTTGTGCAAGCTTTTTAGTACAAAGTAGTACTGGGAAGTACTTTGTGCAAGCTCTGTAGTACACAGTAGTACTGGGACGTACTTTGCGTAGGCTTTGTAATACAAAGTAGTATATACAGGGAACTGTTTGGAGCAGGCTTTGTAGTACAAAGTGGTACTGGGAAGTGCTTTGTGCGAGCTTTGCAGTACAAAGTGGTACTGGGAAGAACTTTGCGCAAGCTTTGTATACAAAGTAGTACTGGGACGTGCTTCGTGCAAGCTTTGTAGTACAAGTAGTACTGGGAAGTATTTTGTGCAAGCTTTGTAGTACAAAGTAGTACTGGGAAATGCTTTGGTGCAAGTGCAAGCTTTGTAGTACACAGTGGTACTGGGAACGACTTTGTCCAAGCTTTGTAGTACACAGTAGTACTGGGACGTGTTTGTGCAAGCTTTGTAGACAGTGCGAGCTTTGTAGTACAAAGTGGTACTGTGAAGTACTTTGTGCAAGCTTTGTAGTACAAAGTAGTACAGGGACGTGCTTCGTGCGAGCTTTGTCGCACAAAGTAGTACTTGGACGTGCTTTGTGCCAGCTTTGTAGTACATAGTATTACTGGGAAGTGCTTTGTGCAAGCTTTGTAGTGCAAAGTAGTACTGGGAAATGTCTTGCGCAAACTAGTACGTAAAAGGTTCTGTGTGTAAAAGCTTCTCTGTGTAAAATTTTCCGTGTGTAAACGCATCTGTCTCTAAAGGCTTGTCTGTGTAAAAGATTGCTGCATGTAGAAGCTTCTGTGTAAAAGCTGCTGTGTGTAAAAGCTTTTCTGTGTAAAAGTTTGCTGTGTGTAAAAGCTTCTATGTGTAAACAAACGTGTGCTTTGTGTAAAAGCTTCTGTGTGTAAAAGCTTGTTGGGTGAAAAGTTTCTCTGTGTAGAAGATTGCTGCGTGTAAAATTCTGCTGTGTGTAAAAGCTTTCTGTGTGTAAAAGCTCTCTGCGTGAACGCTTTCTGTGTGTACCAGCTTGCTGTGTAGAAAATTGCTGCGTGTCAAAAAAATATCTGTGTAAAATTTTAAAAGCGTGCTGTGTGTAAACGCTTCTCATGTGCAGAAGCTTTCTTTGTGTAGAGGCTTTTCTGTGTAAACGCATCTGTGTCTCAAGCTTCTGTGTGCAAAAGCTTCTCTGCGCATTCATTTTTGTGTGCAAGAGACTTGTCTCTGGCGGCAAAAGCTTTGTGACACGCAGAAGAGCTGAGATGAGTTGAGAGGAGCTTCGAAGAGATGAGAAAGGTTGAGCAGTGCTCAGGTTGAGCAGTTGAGCTTAGGTGACATATGAGAAGAGATGAGATGAGATGAGATGAGATGAGAAGAGCTGAGATGAGGTGAGAAGAGCTCAGATGAGAAGAGATGAAGTGTGGAGTGTGAAGTGTAAGTGCGAAGTGTGAAGTGTGAAGAGTGCAGTGTGAAGAGTGGAGTGTGGAGTGTGGAGTTTCGAGCGGGACCTTTGGAACAGTGCATCGCTGTCGCGCAAAGCACGCACGCACAGGCCTGGCTGGCGCACGGCGCATGCAAGTTCTATAATAGACGAAAAATCTTATAGTATAACCCTAAGGCAACTTCCGCCCCGCCTCACGCGGGTACTACTGGTATTAGACTGTAAAAAATTATTTTATACTATTGTTGGATTTGTGCCATCCTCCTATCACTCCACAGGTGCCTTGAAAAGACCAAGTGTCTGATCAAGGCCGGATCCAATTTCTCTGGATGATTGCTGGTCATCACCAGCAAGCGCCCGGGTGTGTCAACAACACCATCCAGTGTGTTCAGGATGCCAGCCAGGTTCAAAGTGTCTGCGCTATCCATCGACTCGCCATGGGGTCCCATAGGGCCCCAGATAGGTCCACCTGGCTGGCCGAACTATGGTCCAGCAGTTTAATAATTTAGCAACCTGAAGTTTGGAGAAAGTTGGCAAGCGTGAAGAACAAGTAGACTAACTAGACTGCTGCTGGCTGGGGCACTCTTTTTTTCGTGAATGACATCCAGCATGTCTTGAAGCAACTTCGAATCCACTTTTCTGGTTGCATCTGCAGACTTCGTAGCCCCGTCGCCCCTCGGTGTTGGAAAAATATGTGCGGCTACGATGCCTGGACTTTTTGCAGCCAGTGGCACTCCATGTGCTGCCTTGATTGCATAAGGATTTGTAAACCAGTCAAGGCTCTCTGCAGACTTTGGAGGAGCCTGGAACCATTTCAGATCTGTGCGTGAAGAAATTTCACTTCATTGCTTCAGAAATGACTCTGACATGCACTGACACGCAATCTCGATCCTCAGCTGAGCCCTGCTTCGCTTTTTCCTTCCTCGCAGGGCATGCAAGGGCAGGTTGGAAACCACATAGAGCTGCAAACATAATTATTGAATTTGACCGCCATTCGTAAAGAACAGTAACAGAAATGCAAAGAAATGCTACCAAGTATCTCTTTCTCTTCAAGGGAGTCGGCCAACCTGCTCCCCCAGGACTTCCAATTGCAAAACAACTTAACAATAAAATACATTCAAGATGTCTGTTTCAATTTGTTTCAATATGTTTTCACATTTTCCCGAATGCGTAGCAAGGGTTCCCGTTTCACTCTCGGGTCATGGGGGTTGAAGTCCGCAACCGTCCGCAACCGTCCGCAACTGTCCGCGTGAGGGCCATATGGCCGTGCCTATGGTGAGTTCTGCAAAAGGGTCACTTTTTGAGGTTCCAGCGTCGCGCAGCTTCGTTTCGCCTGGCAGGCGTGGCACTTCGTGACATTCAAACGTGCTTCGTATCGTGTCGAAAAACGTTTTGTGCGGCAAGCACAATACTTTTGCGACGTTTTCAGAAGATGCGTTGATTTTTTTGTGGCAGGCGCAGCACTTTGGAGACCATCATCGTCATTTTGTGCAGAACGCGCAGCACTTTCGACGTGTCGTGCTGCGTGCTTTTTCGAATCGCTATGTCAGGGCTGCGTCAAGTGGTGACAAGGTGCAAATTCCATGGCAGGCGTCGAGTTTTGCAAGATGTGCTGAAAATTGACGGAAGCCTCGCACGAAACATCGATTTTGAGGTAACAAATTTTGAAGTTCATGAGAAAACTCGTAGGAAAACTTCGATTTTGTCGCTACAAAGTGTGAAAATTGGAAGATGTCTCGCACGAAATGCTCGTTTTGAGGCTGCAACATGTCTCGTCTCGATTCTCTGGCTTTCAAGTGGCGTCGCCGTGTCTTTGGGGGAAGCTGCAAAACTCTCTCATTTTCAAATGTTTCCAAACAGGTTGTAATGTCGTTTTGCTTGGCACGCGTGGCACTTTGAGAGTCTCACGTGTTTGATAAAGTGTCGAAAGTCGTTCTGTGTGACAGGCGCAATACTTTTGCATATACTTTTGCGTCGTTTTCAAAAGCTTAGTTGCATGTGTCGTGGCAGGCGCAGCACTTTGGAGACCTCCATCGTCATTTTGCATGGCAAGCGCAGCACTTTAGACGTGTCGTGTTGCGTGTCTTTTTGAATCGCAATGTCAGGGCTGCGTCAAAAGGTGACAACGTGCAAATCGCGTGGCAGATGTGGAATGTTGTGACATGCGATGAGACTGCACACTCCTCCACACTTTACACTTTATACTCTACACTCTACACTTTATACACCTCACACTTTACACTCCACACTCTGCACTTTACACTCCACACTCCACATTAACACTTTACACTTCACGCTCTACACATGACACTCCACACTCCACACTCTACACTCCACACTCTACACTCCACACTTTACACGAAACACTCTGCACTTTACATTCCACACTTCACGCTTTACACTCCACACCACACTCTACATTTTACACTGCACACTCCACACTCCACATCCTACACTCCACACTTTAAACTCCACACTCTACACTCCACACTCTACACTCCACACTCAACACTTTACACTGTGCACTCCACACTCCACACTTTACACTTGACACTCCACACTCCACACTTTCCACTCCACACTCCACACTTTACACTCCACACTCTACACTCCACACTTTAAACTTGACACTCCACACTCTACACACTCCAAGCTCCACATTCTACACTTTACACTCCACTCTCCACACTTTACACTCCACTCCCCACGCTTTACACTTTACACTCTACACTACACTTTACACTCTACACTCCACACGTTACACTTTACACTCCACACTCTACATTTTACCCTCCACACTTTTCACTTTACACTCCACACTTTACACTCCGCACTCCACACTCAACACTTTACACTCCACACTTTACACTCCACACTTTACACTTTACACTCAACACTCCACACTTCACACTCTACACTCCACACTCTACACTCTAGACTCTACACTCCACACGTTACCGTTACACTTTACACTCTACACTACACTCCACACTTTCCACTTTACACTTTGCACTCCACACTCTACAGTTCACACTTTCCACCGCTCACCTTACACTTTACACTGCACACTCCACAATAGCCACTTCACACTCTACACACTACATTCCCCACTCAACACTCTACTTTCTTCATACCCTACACTTTGCACTCCACCCTCTTCCGCATTCCGCAGTCTACAGTGCACTGGTACAGTAACCGGGGAAAATGTACAAGACTGTTCAAATCACTTGTTGCACACAAGTGTTTTACATGACTGCATTCAGGTTCGTGGGCTGCATCTTGTTTTTCAGCGTGACTGCAAAAATTCCCTGCCTCTCTAACTTTTGCAGCCGTTCAATCCGATCTAAGTTCTGCATGCTCATGAGATCCTCCACTTTGGTTTCGGATTGCTCATCTCTGCGATGGACCACCTTCGACGCCGCATCCACGTCCTGCGTCCAGGTGATACGTCCGCAGGACACGAAAAAAGCTCCGACAAGAGCGACACCCACTGAAAATATGGGAAATCTATGGAAATCTATGGAAATCTGATTCGAAATATTTCAAAATCATACAATCCCTACTCACTCGTATCGACTCGTATCGACTCGTATCGACTCGTATCGACTCGTATCGACTCGTATGGACTCGTATAGACTCGTACAGGCTCGTATAGACATACATAGACTTATAGCATCTTATAGCCATTGAACGGGGAAAATGACGATTAACCGCATCAAAGAGAAGGATCAACGAAGCCCGTTTTGATAGTATGTATCACCCTATCTTTATCAGGCACTTAGACACCCAGGCAAACGGACCGGAAACGCGTTTTATAACAAAAGGAAGAGAAGGGCCAAACAACACTGGATGGCTGCTTCGCACCATACTCAGCAAATGTCAAATGTGCAAATGCGGCAAATCTGAAATAATCATATCATATTCCCTGTCCATACCGTCCAACTGTCAAACAAAACTCTAAGGGTTAAACCAGAAGGTCTTGCTACCTCAATGCTTCCCTCTCAGCCTAAGGTCCTCCATCACAAAGATGACATCTTTTATTCTGAGGCGAATGGCAGATTCGATGCTCTCAACTGTATATTTCTGATCAAAGATCCTTGGAGCTGTTGGCTCGCTGTTGGCTTCGTACATTTTCTTCAATTGTTCATTGTTATATGTTCTTGGCCGGAAAAGCACCCAAAAAAGTCTTTGTTCAGCCAAAAACATTAAATTATAGTCAGGTCATGCAATCAAGTCTCAGTTGCATCAGCTCTGTATTGGTCTTCAATCTTGCAAGTGGCACGTTCACAATGGAGCGGTCAGTGTGCTGTGCCTCAAGCATAATCCTCAACTCCTAAACCTTTCTTTCGAGTCCGAGGCTGCAGCCAACTTGACGAAAACCTCGCTGGGCTTCTGGCCAGCACCTTGATCATTGAGGTCTTTCCAGTTCCAGGAGGACCATACAGCAGGAGACCAAGTTTGTGAGGATATCCAGGTATCCCATACCTGAGAGATGCAGCTGCAGCTTCATCTAGGAATATCTAGGAGATCCAGGCATATCATGGCATATCCACACCCCCCTGTGATGCTGAGTTCACTCAGGTCCCAACTTGCCAGTCCGATGCATGAAGTGATCAAGGAGCTGTACCAGTGAATCCTATCACCAAGGGCTCAGGTGAGTAGCTTAGTAGCTATGGCAGCTATGGGGCGATGGGACCCGGCCTTCTCAGGAAAAAAGAGGCTCTGGAAGGTTTTTTCCCCTGACCTCAGTTTAAAAAAAAACTAAACTCACGCAGCACAGATGCAGAAGGGGAGAGACGTGGAAAGACTCTGAATGTCATTTTGCTTCAGGGTTGGCCCGGCCCTAGAGATTGCATCCAGTGACAGTTTGTATCTGCGAAAGCTTCTCTTCTCCTCTTCAGCTTTAGCCGGAATCATTTCCTGACTTGTCAGGCTTTGTTCCAAACTGCGATCAGAATGGAAACACCAGAGGCCTTTGGCAGACAAGGCGCGTACATGTATCGTATTTTTGTTTTGGATTGCATCTTGCTCTGCTGATCCAAGTACCATTTGTACGCCTTATCGATAAAGTCCAAGACCTACACAGGCTGCAGAGGCGGCGTAGATTCCCCATGATTCCACAACTTCCACACCTATTTCCCCGCCTTCTTCTCACTTAAACCCTTCAGGGTCATCTTGGTGGTCACTGGTTGTGGGATATGTGCCTGAAGGCCACTGAAGGCCACTGAAGGCCACTGAAGGCCACTGAAGGGTTACCATGTACTACAACTACAACAATACCACGACAAACCGCATCGTGACGGCTTTCTACGGTGATTAGTCAGTCCTGTGGTAAAGTTCTGCAGTGGCTCAAAGTTAAAGGTCCAAATCAAGCTACGGTATCTTTGTCCACTTGGCGTTTTTCATCCTCCACAGCCAAAAAGAACTTCAAGTCTTTCTCGATTTCAATCCATTTCTCCTCTGGTGGCTTTTGTCTTATTCGGTAGTAGGTCTTCAGGTAACCAATTTCGGTATGCTTCTCCGGATCATCTTCGTCATCGTCATCAACACTGCTAACCTCGACTTCCATGTAGTGATCCTCGAGGCTCATGGAGGCAGCATTGTATGGGACCTTTTTCTCCGCGATGTACTGATTCAAGGCACGCAACAGCACCACAGATCGATCATCGCCAGGGGTGTACAAATAACCATCACTCCGCCGCATCTGCTTCACCTCCGCGGTAGTCAAAACATGTCAGAAGAACAATCAAATTGACAGCACGAAATCAATCAGATATTATATACAGCACATATTGCACATATGTATATAATATATATATGATTATATGCGTCTGTGTGTTATGTTGGATTTAAGGTATTTTGACAAAGTCTCATTCTTCAAACAAGAGACTACCAGCAAACAACCAACCTTGTCCGTGTCCGTTTCGCGACTGCACAGAACTGGACAGTCGAAACCATGCCGACTGGTGAAGGTTTGTGGCGAAGACTTTGGATCCCACACCTCTATGGTGCGCTCGTAGTACTCTGGTGGTAATCTCCTGCGCAGAGCTATTCCAGTACGTTGACAAAAGATGAGAAAAGATTAGAAAGTTGTAGGATTGTAGGACTTCAAAGCATTCCCTATAAGCTGTCTAGAAATCCAAGATGTTCTTCAAAGCTTTCACAAACCTGGAGCGTGGAAGAGGCTATGCAGCCCCTATGGGATCCAAATTCGGCGAGTACATGCGATGACCCGACCGCGAAGGTGACAACTGGGCTGGTCAGACTGAGAGGAAGAATGGGTGGAAAGGTGGTACAGGGGCCAAATGGCCTCCCCTGACAGCATCAGCAACAATTCTCTCAGAGGGGAGAGACATATGGAGATAGACAGAGCTGCGCCTCAAAGGCTGAGGAGGAAAAATATATGTTTCCACAGCTTGGATTCTGGTCTCTCTTGTCTGCTCACTGGTGAAACAACGTCCTGCAACATGTCTTCAGTTTGGTGCTCAGCTTTTCCAACTGGGGCTGCAGGCTGGAAGTTGAATCGAAGATCCTGAAATGAAGAAAGCTGCTGAAATTCAATGCGGGAAGCACCAGATGGCGTGAAGCAACGAACACATCAATAGCATCATGAATCTGCCATCCCAGCAACAGCTTGAAGGCAAGAGGAATAAGCATTGCAATCCTCGGTGCTGTGTGTCTCGGAATCAGTCAGATTTTAGACAGATCTGAGATCCGGGGAGGACAGTAGACTTGTTGGGCAAAATCTAAGGGGACTTCACAGCAAGATCCACCAAGTCTCACAGTGTCCCACATCACATTGCCACTCCGCCTGCAAATCTTGCCATGCCGGTGATGCTCAGGAAGTATCGAAGCGACAGCATGCAGCTTGATCAGCTTGGGTCCACGCATGCTGTTGATCATAGAGAATTTCGCCTTGGCAAATCGGGTCCAGCGCACCAAATTTACCGAAATGGCACAAGGCTGGCTGCCAAAATTGGTGACGCAACCAAGGCGCGCCCTCCATGTCAATTGCTTGGGAAAGGGCCGCCATTGGACACTGTTGCCCAAAAGGCTCCTTATCTGAAGTAAAAGACCTTTGAGACATCTAAGGCAAGCTTTTCTTTTTAGGGAATTCTATGTTGGGTTTGCAAAGGACTTCTTCCTTCCCTTTACATTCTTGTGCTGTACCCTCCTAATCCAGAATTCCCCAAGGAAAAAGGAGACCCATTGATCTCATTTGCAGGCTCTTGTCGTGTCGTGGTGTTAGCATTCTTGCCGGTAGAGTGTGTGTGTATCTGAAAACCATCTGAAGCGAATCTCTGCAATACTATAGTGCAATGATATCCTGCAAGCAGGACAAAGACTCAAGCCACAAAGCCTCGGCAATTTCCAATGAGTATAGAAGTTGATGATATTGGGAAGTAAATGAAGTAAGTAAGTGTGGAATCCAGCGACATTTTTTTCTGCATTTCTATAGGTGTTTTTGTGTGGTCAGTGTGCTGATCGTGACTCGAACGGCTGCACCTGGCCAGCAGTGCTGTCCAACTCAATTCCAAGTTCCTGCAGCATCGTGGCGTTGCGATCCGATCAGATCCTCAGATCCGATGAAACCATCAGAGTGCCACATGCAGAAACCATCAGAAACCAACAAAGCCATAGCCTGAAATACATCCAACATCATCCAACTACGTATTCTTTAATGCATCTAAATATATCTAAATATAGTAGTGTATCCTATCTCAGACATTGCTACGAATAAGGTGTGGTATTGCACGCATGGTGTAGACTCATGACTGTCATTGAGCAGTTCCTTTGCACGCTCTTCCAATTTGGAGAGCGGAGTGCCCTTGACGAAGTCCATCACTGGCGGTGCAATAGGGAAGACTGGCGGTTCCGACTCATACCGATCCCTTCCCCCGAAGGATCCGAAGGTGTATAGCTGGATCTCTTCAATCTCCAGGGTCTGAATCAATAGCAAAGATTAAGACTTCTGGGATTCTTATAGCGGGTTAAATAAAGAAAACACCTGCACAAGTGTGATTTTTCATGTGGTTTCCCAGCAATCCGCCTAGGACCTTGCGTGTTGCCATGCCCGGAATGGGAAGCGGAACCACCTCAAGGAGGCCACACGGAAAATGGTCAACGGGAAGAGAGCCAAACATATCGAAAAAACATTGCATAACATTGCCATTTACCGGGGAAAATATGGGCAAATATGGAAAAAAAGATAAACCACTTGACTTGAGGATAACAAGCCCAGGCAAAGCTTAACGCTGCCGTGGCATCTAAGCATCATACCAAAGGAGCATCAAGCTCTTGTCCTAAAGGATCATGGCGGACAGAAGCTGCGACCTGGTCGCTTGGAAGCTGTGGTGACCTTGTTGGACTCAAGGATCAAGGACACCTTGTTGGACAACATCAGTATGTGGTCACATGTTGTCACCTTGTTGCCTTGGGATCCAGGACGGCTTTGCGGCGCCACATTTCGCTTAGGCCTTCTGGGCGCTTTGGGCTTCGTTCAGGAAGTCCAGTTCGCCATCTAGAGCCCGTTCCAACCTTTTTCCAATGTAGGAACTGTCGTTTCAGAACTGGTTTAAGGGAAAACATGGAAAATTCACAGGAAAATCCTACATGTGCAGTACAATCTAGCATCGTTTTTTTGGTAAATTCTGCCTGAGCAATCAATTTACAAGGAGAGCTCAGTGCATCTGGAGCATCTGTGGCATCTGTGGCGAACATTTTGCAGACTTCCAAGGTTCTGGCTCACAAAAGACCGGGTAGTAATCCACTGGGAGCCTGGCTGTGCCAAGACTCGTCAAATGGCATCCCACCTAATTTTCATCTGGCCTCCCTCGCAGTGTGAGGGCAAACACCTTGAGGTTGGCAATGTCACCTTCAATCGAAAGCACGAAAAGTTGAGGAAACGTCTTTACTGAAGGACTCATTTCTGGCTGGTGTAGGTCTTTTCTCCTTTCACATAAAGATTGCTTGCAGATCGCCTCGTAGCACTGGTTCCATGTTGGGTCTCAGGACTTTGACAGCGACCTCGTAGACATACTGGTGCGATAAGATTTTCATCTAGATGCGATCGCATTTCATGGTTTCAAAACATCTCGAAAGCAGTGAACTGGCAAGAAGCTAGACATGTCTTGAAGCTTGTGTTCGTACCAGCCTCCCGCCCATCGTTGAGTACGCCTCGATGAACCTGAAAAATTCAAACAATCTGACTTTGGTTGTGGAAGGACTGTGCTGGTTAAGATAAGACACCTCAAAGTCGGAGTGGTACATCTAGCTTCTTGGCCAGATCTGATTCAAAAAAGGAATACTGTAACTAAAACTGCTCAAGTTTTGCTTTTTCTGGTTGTTGATACCACCAGATCTGCATGATATGCATTTCCACACATTCCACAATGAGTCTGAAGTGAAATTCTACCATATCCAAGTCTCCTTGCCTGCGCAATGGATGCTGTACCCAGCGGTTCATCATCCAATTCACGCAAAAGCTCAGACAAATCTCCGCCACCACAGAGCTCCTTGGAACCAAATCCACCAGGTTTGATGGGGATGACGGCTATTTCTTGGACCATAACCCACTGTCGGAACCAGCAAACTGTCACTCCTCAGAGATGATCTTCCGAATGGATTGAGCGTCGACTGGTGGCAAACTGTCCTGAAAGGAGCGGCGCATAGCCCTCGCAAACAACATATGAGCGGTGGCGAAAACCCCTATGTCATTCTCTTGGAATCCTACTTGGAGGTTTTTGACACTCATATGAATTCAATCTTATCACTACGTAAAAGCCATGCCTGCAAAATACGTAGCCGATCAGTGTACCTCGGACAGCCAAGGGGTGGAGCGATAAACGACATGTGACTCTCGCAAAAATACAAGCCCGAAACGGCTTGGAGAATAAATCCACCCGCGTAGAGAGCACCTGCGCCACCAAGACTGTCAGGACTGTCAGAACCAAAGAAGCTGATAATTCGCCTGGCCAGTTTTAACGTAGAAGCCGCCCAAATCCAACAAAGCCTCTTGCAACCTGCATGGCTCAGGCAGTTGCAGACAACGCGGCACAAGAATGCACTGACATGCATTGACAACGTGCAAAGATGATCAAAGCATATGAAAGATGCAGTGGGCCGGTCCTCTTTGAACCCCAGTCGTCCATTTCTTCCACCAATTCTTCACCGCTTCTCTTTTCAATGCCTAGGAAAATGCGTCAAAAAAAACGCCAACAAGCCACATACGATACGCAACGTGCTACGCCGCACCTAAGCTGTGCAGCCAAGGCCGGAAAGTGTACTGACCCAGCCTTGCCGAGCGCAGCTGAGCAGAGGCGCAAGCTGAGTTTCACTGAGGCTCCAACACTGGAATTATCGCTGAGTAGAACCTGCACTTTGCTGCAAATTTGTAAGCCTGCTTAAGAAATATATAGACACGCAATAGTAGGCTCATACTGGTTATGCCATCACACTGAGACTGGTTCTGAAACCAATATATTGATCTCTTATCAAATCAATAATAGCCACAGTATGCCATAGTCATAATATGGTTATTTGTTTGTACTAGTATGAGTCGCCAGTCACAGTAGATAGTCCATGCGCAAATAGTGAAGATTCAGTGAAGATGCAGAGCGAAAGGTTTCTTGTCGCTGACCACCCTGGCCTCAGGGAGCGTTGAAGCCTCCTTAGGGCCGACACGCACAGCCACAGACTGCCACCAACCAAGAAAAACGCACCGCGCTTGTGCCAACGGGTCGCTGAAGAACTGGCAAAGTAGCGGTCTCCTGCAGTGGGAAAAAAAGGCTTGGAGATACTTGGCATATGAATATAGAGGTTTCCTAAAATGGTGGTACTACCCAATCATTCATTTTCAAAGGATTTTACATTGTAAACCATCCATTCTGGGGTACCCCCCTATTTCAGGAAACCCCCATATGAATCATATTAGCATACTGTCAATCTGGGTCCCTTTCGGTGGCTTGGATGTTCCAAAACTCTGTTTCCTGAGCATGTCTGGACAGTCTGCATGCGCGGCGACTTCGCCTTAGCTTTGCCAAGGCAAACCTCGGTGTCCAGTCAGATTCCAATTTTGCAAACACAAAGTGCAGTGTTCCAAAGCAATGGACCCTCCTCCGCAAAAGCTCGCACATGTCCAGTGTGACTTGGCCTCAGAAGCCAGCAATCCAGCCAAATCCCACATCATCCCACATCGTGCGTTTCACAGAAGTGCATGGCAGCAAATACCATCACCCTGCACAACCATTCGTAAGAGCACGGCTCTCCTAGGCAAAGTCCACTCTTGCCTGCCAAGTCTTGCCAGCAATGCTGATGATAAAACTTGATAAACTACAATCCTTATTTCCAGCCTGTCCCAAACCTGATTTCTTAAAGTCCGCTAACATGAGCACCTGTCGCAGCATGGAACTAATTTTGTTCGGAAATCACGCCACTATTCCTTTTTATAAGACCACTCCTTTCCCCAACATGGCACCTAGTTTTCACCCAAACTGCACTTTGAAACAGCATGAGACAGCTAACATGGAATTTGAAGAAACCCATCGGTGACATTCAGATGTGATTTCAAATCTAACATAGGCTAACCAGTAGCTGGTTTCAATACAAGTTCCCCCAAAACATCCAATTTAGTTGCTTGAAATCCATCACTCCAAAAGACACCCCAGTTTGGTTAGCGTGGAAATCCCGTGCTCAGGATGCTCACGTGCTTGAAAAGACTTACCCATGTAGGTTCCAAGTAAGTGGTTGGAAAAATGAAGCAGGAGGTTTGACAAATGATTGGAAAAATTTAAAAAAAATGTCCGTGGGTTTGGATCAGGGATCAACAAACGGAGACAAAGTGGAATTGGGGCATCCTACCTTTCCTATTCAAAGCCTAAAGGCAAAAGTTTTCATTTCAGACACTTTTGGGTTTGAATCTGGATTTTGGGCCTTTTGGTGCGTCAGGTTTGGCATTATATAGGACAAAGCAACATGGAACTTGTCGTGGGTTTCTGCCAAAACACCACGTCGGGACCCCGGATTCAGTGAGCCCAGCAGATTTTGGGCCTTGCCCGGATGCGAGGCTCCGAAAGACAGTGCGAAGGTACCAAGTGCCAAGAGGGCAAGTTGATTGCCATGGCTGCCAATGTCTTTACGAAGCCAGCCTAGACTCCTAGACCAACCTTCAATTTGATCATGTTTCTGGATCATGAATCGTGGGCAATGTCATCTGGGTCTTTGGAGGCCTGGAGGGTACCTTGATTGTTGACGGATCGACAAGCTTTATGCAAGCCTACCACAGCCAGACATCTTTAATTTGCTTGGCTGTACAGTTGTCCTTGTGATTTTGGATCCTGCTGTCCCACTGAAATCATCAGCTCTTTCAGGTTCCGCTCGAGCACAAAAGCTGAAGAGCTGAATGCTGCAGGACGGGATCAATGCACACAATGTCGAACCCGAAGCAAGGGGGATTTCTACGGAGACTTGAGATGTTGAAGAGAAAATTTCGATTCTCCTGAGCATCAAAAAGTGCAACTTCTCTATCATGTACCATACAGGATGTCATCTCGTTTCTATTCCCATTGGAGTCTGGGTGAGTCTGGACAAGACACAATCGCAAAGTTGAAACATGTTGAAACCACAAGGCACGATCAGAATGAGAGTCTCCCAAGACCAATAAAGACTATGGCAATGAGACACGTATCAAAAAACTATAGCAATTGCGGGTACAAACCATAGTCTTGTTGATTCTAGTGATACCATGTGATACCCTTCATTGGGAATTCGTTCGTAGACTGAATTCCTGCATGAAAGTGGTTTTACAATGTTTTACTCTCACGTGCAAGTATCAATTCAAACCTGAACTTGCATGATCCAGAATACAAGCTGCTGTGAATCGACAAAAAGATTCCCGTGCGTTTTTTTTTTCCGTCTGGTAAGCTGACATGCTTTGGAATGAGACATTTGCCTCATCTGTCCGTTGCAGCTTGGCAGCAAATAAATCACTGCGTCAACCTGATCGGGTGCCAAGCAGCAAGATTTAAGGGATGACCTGGTGCCGTGTGCTTTGCAGCTGGAGCTCTTTGGGGTGACAAGCTGAAGCCGAAAGTTTCAGAAATTCTTGTCCGAATTGGATCCCCAAAACTGCCCTTTCGCCGCGCTTTTGCAAACCATTCGCGCCCTTTCGCGCCCAACCAGTTGGGCACAGGGAGGTGTTATCATGTGTTCGTGCGCGTGTTTCGTGCCAAGGGTTTACATGGGAATTTCAAAGATTGCCCGGCAGGGGAAGCACAAATTGAAACGACTTTGAAGGGTTCTTGAAGTTGCAAGTTGCAAGGCAAACTATATAAACCATTTTGGGCCAGGGTGGGATCCTGGCAGAGCCTAACGCCAACCTTTCGCGAACCTTCCACGAATCTTCCGCGAACCTTTCGCAGATTTCTCGCCTACAAAAGTGAGTTTTAGAAACTCGTTTTTCATGATAGGATGACTTCTGTGATTTTGCTGGGCGGGTGTTGCTGTTCCAATACTAACACCATTCCTATCTGAGACAAACTCCCAAAATTCATGTTCAAGGGGAAAATATTCTGCAGTGAGATGATCTACCAAGCTTTGACGAGAATTCTGACACCCATGATCCTTCAATGATATGGTGCACTTCATCACATCGAAGAAAAACGCCAAGCTGTGAATCGGAAACTAAAACCCGTGAATCGGAAACTAAAACCGGTGAGTCGGAAACCAAAAACGGTGCATGAGAAACCAAAACGGGTGCTTCGGAAGCTCCGGAAACCAACCTGGAGACGGAAACAAAAAACCCTGATGGAAACTGCAACGTAATCCCTTGCACAGAACTGGAAAAGCAAGATTGCTAGGATGGCTAGCGTATGGGATTGAATTTTATAAGCAATGCAATGTCCCGAGCTGCAGGCCGCGAAGTCTTTTTCTACCCATTCAACATAGTGGTCAAAGGGGGTGGCGGATTTCATCCCTCATAAAGATAAGCTGAAGGTAATATCCCAATCAACATAGTGGTCAAGAGGGGGTGGCGGACTTGATCCCTCACGAAGATAAGTTGAAGGTAACATCCTATTCAGCATAGTTGTCAGAGGGGGTGGCGGATTTGATCCCTCATGAAGATAATTTGAAGGTACTATCCCATGCAACATTGCTGCGCATATTTTAGTTTTTGAAGCGCAGAGTTTATTTTCTGATGCGCAGGGTTTAGTTTCTGATTCGCAGGTTTTAGTTTCTGGCGCGCGGGTTTTAGTTTCTGACGCGCGGGCATTTAGTTTCTGACGTGCGCGGATAGTTTCCGACGCGAGGTTTTGTCAGGGAAAAAAGTCCTTCAATGCTTGCCACAACAGTTTCATGAATGCAAGAGTAACTGCCAAGCGTGAATACTATGGCATGCATCTGGTAGATAGTGGTACCTATATAGACCTTTCGCCAAACCTTTCGCCCCGCTATGGCAGCTTTTCGGGACTCAGTAAAACACATGTCCATATCAGCAGCTGTCACTCGGGTACAAAAAATCTTACCTGGGTTTTGGAACGCCCACCACATCTGGTATTTCATGGGTAATTTGATTCATCCATCCCCAATTCCGCTGTTTCGGGGCTGAGGCTGCTACTAACTCTTCTTCGCACACCTCGCCACGGCGAAACAAATGCACATCATCTGGGGGGTCAAAGCCTGTGATGTTCATATTCCCTATTCGCCCTATCCCATATATTTCACCAGGGGATTCCAATCAAGCTATGCTTCCTCGCCTGAAGTCATCTTCTTGGCAGGTGCCTCAAAACTAGAAAATTGCCCCCGCGGAAAAAACAGAAAATGATATGTGTGTGTGTGCATGTCTGTTTCTAGTCCATTATTTCCCTAAATATCCGCCGTCTTATTCTTTCACTCTTATCAGGTATTGCTTTGTTTCCTCACCCTTGTGACAGTCAAAACATGTCAAAACTCAAAACCATGAGGGAGAGCTTTATGCAAAAAGTATTGTATCAGTATCTGCATGTCGTTCATCCCTATGTCAACTAAGTCAAAGTCATCTTCCAGTATCAAACACCAGCTTGCAATCACATATACATAATCTGCCAAATTGTCCAGCAATTGCAAAGCGAGAAGGGACAAAAAGGTCCTTTGCAGGACCAAAATGTTCAATTGCAAATTTGCAAACAAAACAAAATCTGCAACAGAAGAAAACGTACCCTGCCATAATCATAAGCTCGCAGCGGAAAAGCCATGTTCAATAGTGATATCATAGGTATAAATCACCCTCAAATGATTGGCTTACGTAGCCATGCTTGTTGCGGAAATGTTTCACATAATACCGAAGGTTTTGGCCGACAGAGAGAAGAACAACTTGAAAAAGTGGCATGTCGAGTTCATGCGCTAAGTTCTTCTTGAACCACAGTTCATTCTCCCGTTGATAAACAGAATTTTGAGTACATCACTTGGGAGCGTGTCTGTATGACAGCAAAATAATTGGAACCACTTCCCGTTACATTTCCATACATAAGTCACCCATAAAGTAGAGGGCAAGTTATTCATACAAGAACCGATGAATTAAAAAACATGAACAGAAACTGTAAACATCGTTTGCTAAAATAGAAGTTGCTACAAACTACAAACAAATACTTTGTCTGCCTATACTGCCCTTAAAGAATATGTCTCCAGAGACGCCCAGAAAACACAAATTTTCCATGTTGGACCTGTACGGTGATGTGACAATGGAGGGATGACCACCATTTTTTCAAGGGGGATTCCTTTCTTGTAAATTCACAAAATTCATCAAAAACATCATGCATCCAAGCTACAATCTCCAACATCTTTAGCATTGACAAAATGTGGAAGGACTTGCACCCCGACAGATTGCAGAGACCATCGGATTGGCATTGACAGAGACACGACAAATTCTGTGTCCTCGTTGAAGCAACTCTTGTGTGTGCCCCTATCTGTCAATGGCGCAGTCAGCCTGTCTAGTTGATATAGACCACGTTGTACATTGCAGTGATCTTGTCAAATAAGCCAGTTGAAAAAAGTCATGAGGGATGGAGGGCTTCCCCTTTCCAGATACGACAGCTTGGGTTTGCGAATATCTACTGGGATTCAGCGATGCATGCAGTGTCGCTGTAAATGTAAGTCTGTGTAGCCAGTCGGCAAATCTGTGACGAAGTCGTCTGCACATCTTTCAAGCCACAGAATAAGCACTTGGAAGTATGATTCTCAGTAGGTCGGGCAAAAGCGTTGCCAGTCAATACAAGAAAACTCTTTCTTGCCGAGATTATTTGGAGCCCACGATGGAGCCTTTTATGCAAACCATTGGAAGCAAGTTATCAGTGCAAGGGTAAAAAGAAACTCGATGGCAAAGCGCTGAGAGGCATGCAGTGAGGTAAACACTTCCCAACCAGCAACCTGTCTGCCTTTGCCCACAATGAGGTCACTTTCGTTTGACTCTTGGCAAGGAGGTACTCAAGGACCTTCCAATCACCCATAGTTGTGATAGAGGCTGATTGTCGCCAAACGGAACGTTTCACAGAAAATTTCAGAATCTGTATGTCATCACTTTCCATACCATGCCTGTAGCTTGCTATCGTTGCCCACGGTTCGATTGCAATTCACGCTTACTGATGAGGCGGCCGGCGCCTGTCGATTTGATTTCGGCCCCGTCGGACCCATGTAACCGTAAACGGCAAATGCCTGTGCTCCGAACCCGTGGTTGAACAAATTTACAACTTCCCGTGGATCCACTTATCCAAGCAGTACTCAATCTGCTAATCTCCCTCCGCCGAGCTTGAAGCACTTGGAATATGCTGAGCCAAGGGCTGTCTACCCCCTCTCTGGGAGCAGAGATCGGAACCATCGAATTGTTACCATCGAAATGTTCACTTACTCAGTTGCGCATGTGAGACATGCACTGTGCACAGACTTGGCATCGTTGATGCAGCATGTCATGTGCGCCGTCAAAACCGTCTGTGACATGTGGAATCGACTGCGGCTCCACTCCCGGCCGCAGCGTCTTGTAGAACAAAGTTGCTTGCGCTTCAAACAAAACTCTGCGAAAGCCTCCAAGTTAAATGTGCCTTTCCCGATTCGTTAACAGCTCAACGTCTTTTTGCCAAGGCATGCGCCGACACCGTGCATGGTAAGACTGTCTTGCTGTTTCATGGAAAACTTCGAGAGTCTGACTGCTTCAGGACTGGCGAGAGTCATTCTACAAGCCACGTGGTCTAAACTTTAGAGGGAGACAAAGAAACCGTTGAGATTTGAGACAGTTGAAACTTGGCTTCAGAGCAGATCTCTTGGAAGTTAAATAAGAGCTGTAAGAGCTGTTTGTTGCCACGTTCAGGACAGCAACATCTTCCAGAAACAGCCAAGGCCACAGGCATTCAAAACTTGTAAGCCTTGCTGGGCTTTGGCTTGTCAGCGGCACTGTGGACAGCTTTGCATCCGTCGTTTCAAGCTTCGCATCTTGCTTCGTTCGCCGCAAAATGTTCCGCTTTTCTTCATGTCTCGGCAAGGAATGCAGAGAACAGAAATGCTCCTGTCATCTCCTGTCAATCTGGCAAAGCTTCAATCAACTCGCCTGCGGCCTGAAATCAGGTGACTGCCACTCGATACCCCTTAGTATCAATAGAAAGAGTGCAATTTGATGGTCCAAAAGGCACTTTCAGCAGTTGAAAGCTCTCCAGAGTCGCAGCATCGGAGATCAATTCATCTTTTTCTGAGCATCTCCCATGAACACGGAAAGACGAAAGGCCTAAACACCTTTGCAAAACTGCAAGGCATTGCGGCATTGAACTTCTGCACATGGAATCATCTGAATCAGTGTGCAGGAGACAAGCAACCCTTTCCAATGCTTCCTTTGGGGCACTGGATTTTGTAGACATGGTACCAGGAGAGAATCTGATCTGTGCTTGGCCAAATGCAATCTGCACTTGATTCTGTCCTTCCGGCAGATGCGCACAACACGGGTTTGACCAGTTCTACACATTCCTAGACTTGGTCCAGGCTGCAACCTTGTCCTCCTCCTCAAATGGTACGTCGTGGCTTCAACTGGAAGTCAAACAGCATTGAAAATACTTAGACCAGCTGGTGCAGCTAAGTATCACCACTTAAACTGCAAACAAGCCCAACGAAGCATATTTCAATCTCCGGAAACGACAGAAGGCCCGGAAGCGACTGCGCGATACTCTTGTTAAGCTGTCTGTTTGGTCTGGAGTAAAAGGCTCACATTGAGTCTTGTAGATGGCCTTTGTCAGTTTTAGCTTTCAAGACTTCTATCCAAGCACATAGAGGTCGGCCGATTGCAAAATTCCGTTAAGGTCTGGTCACAAAGTACATCATTGAAATTGTAGTGCTTCACTTTGCATTTTGTAAGCACTAGGAATTGGCGCCGACAACTTGAGAACATAGGTAAAGGTGGGAGAGGCTTACTTAAGCCTTGCAGAAGGTGCCACGCTGACATGACTCCAAAGCACAGCTGTGTTTGCTCAACTTCGAACAATAACTGGCATTATCTATGCGATACTGGACTTCGATGCCGTCGAACTAGAGCGAAACAGCAACAGCACCTCTCCGAAGCTATGGCTGACCGGAAGCTTTTGCATTTACACAGGCGAGGTCTGTGAAAAGCTCGGACTGACCCTCAGGGAGCTTTTGGTTGAGCACCAAGCATCGGCCGGGGCGTGTCATACCTGTCAGACTCCAAGAAAAGACAAAGTAGCTCTGTCTCTGATGGGTGCGCGTGCATGGAGACAATGCTGGCAAATTAGTATCAAGCAGGACACAGTCTGCTCAAGGTCAAACCATGCCTCTTGTGGCAAACTTCCTTCATCAGGGTGTGAGAGTTCTTGAAAAGGTCATTACTCTTAGGCAGTCCAGGCCACTGTGGGTATTCTCGAATCTGCTTTAGATGTTGTGAAAGCCATATCTAGCAAATGGACAGTCTCGGAAAACTCGCATGGAGTGAAGCGCTCGGTTCTGCAGTCAAGCTTGCCACTGAACTCGCCACAGACCAGGCGCTTTTGCCTCCTTAGGCCGCCACTGATGTGCGGCTTTGGATGTGTTTGGATGTGTTTGGAGCGTAAGCAGGGTTTTAAGAATCTCGAGCTGTAAGCCTTGCAGGGCATTCTTCTCCATGTGAAAAGCAACTGATTTGATTTGAGCGGAAAAGCATGTTGTAGTGCGTCAAGCTGAAATGTGACTTCCAGACCATCTCCATTCAAAGGCATGTCAGTTGCATGCATGACTTCTGCTTCATTCTGACCGGTACAGACAGAAGCGTTGAGATGTTCAAAGCTCAAAGAGGTATCAAATCCTGAGCATCTACGGTGCGCGCAGCTTGTGCAGCTTGCAGCATGCGTGCCTGCTATTTGAAAACATCAACCCGCCCACTGCAACGAAAAGTCGAAGACCTCACCCCGAAATCTGCCACAACCCAACCTAGCGGACCTAGCGAGCCAACTCAAGACTTCTTATTGCAACATCACCTTGCGTGATTGGCATTCTTGATCTTGAACAAATCACGTGAGACATGCAGTTGATGCCTTGCATGCAGCTTGAATCGTTCTCGGAAAGCCATGAGCTAGGGCCGCTAGGGCTAGGGCTCCAAGGTTGTCCGGGTTTTTGGTCAAAACGAATAGGCGCAGTCCGTGGTCCGTGTTTCATCCAACTTTGTCCAGCATGGCTATCACGAAACACAGCAAGGTCTAATCTGGGTGGCACTCTGACTGTCCATACCACTTGAGAGAGTAAGCAAGGTGATTGTGCCGTCTTCATTCCGGGACAGTCCACCAACTGCGAAGTCTTCTGCGAGCCTTTAGATGTCAGTAAATTCGTCTCGAGGATTACTCCGAAAAATTGCCACGAAAGGCCGATCCTTGCAACATACATCATGCAAAATTCATGCGGGGGGAAGGAAGAGGAAGCTGCTAGTTTGCTTTCGCATTGAAATTCGTGAAGTAAGCTTCCTTGCATGAGCCAAACAGACGCAGACTCCGTTTCAGGCGTAAGGGAGGTTGAACCCCGCAGACTAGGTCCTTGTATCCCCTCTGACATCCCGCTGCTTTGATGCAGCTCCGTTTCTTTGAAGGCAAAACTCCAGCCAGTGGTGCAAGCGCACATTGTACAGGAACGTTGATAGTTTCAATGTCTCTGGGAACGTCACTACAGGGAGCTAGCAAGTTCAGTCAGCTTCAAAGCTCAAGCTTAGGTCTGTGAAAAGCAATCCACTCAGCAAGATGTGCCCCGGCGAGTTATCATTCCACAACAGGAAGCCTTTTGTGTGTCTTGGATGGGAGAGCAACTTGACAGCCTCTTCAAATGTCTACCCTGTGGCCATGATATCTTTGACCCCTTGCGATACGGATAACACGTGGCCAAGCAGTCAAGGTTGGCTTCAGATCAACTCTCAACTTTTTCGATGCCAAGAATTCGAGCAACGATGCCACCAAGTGCTGTGTAGAACAGGTTTCTGCGAAACTGTGATCCCTAGCAGAACTGGCCTGCTCGGACACCCTGTCTTGCGAGTGCAGAACATTTTGTAGCAGTCTGCTAGGCATCGTCTTGTCCACTGAACGAGCCAAGGTTTCGTATTGTGATAAGGGATTTTGCACCACGCGCATGCATGGAGTTTTACCGAAATGTCCTCTTCCTATTACCATAGGTGCAAACAGGTTGATCAGCTGGAATTCAGGTTCCTCAAATTCATCTGCAGCAGAAACACTTAAAAGAAGACCACAAAGGATCACAGCAACAAGATTAATTTTCATGTCAAAACACCTTTCAAAGCTGCTCGAAACATGCGACGCAACTGATTGAAAAGACTTCAGGGAAGGTTGTTGACATGCTTGTCTGATTGTGAGAGGGATCATGTTCCAGTCTTCGAGGCAGAACCGCATGCACAACAAGCACAGTTTAAACCTTTGAGCGCAGAAGATCGTTCAGAGTTGGTTTGTGAAGACTCTCTTGGCGCTTGATTTTGCTTCAAGGATAACACCACCATTGCTGTGATGTGGCAGTGGCTCAAATAATTGACCCCACACATTGGGCCCCAAAGTGACAATGGGACGAGTAAATCTTGCCAAAAGGGCCGAAATCTGTGGTCCTGTGTTCCCCCAACTTCAAGGCATTCACACATGAATCTTGTCGAAGTCCATGTTTCCTCTTGGAACAAATCTGGGCCCTAATTGAATCATCTGTCTGGGACGGTGTCATGGTGGAGTTTCACCTCGGTGTCGCATTGAAATGCATCGGTTTATGCACTTTGGCAGCTGAACTTGGACTGGTGACTCTGGTGACTCTGGTGACTCTGGTGGCACCCCGCAACCTGAACCTTCTGTGCTGAGCAAATTTCACAGACCAACTGAAACTGCTGTGGCGGCTGTGGCGGCTATGGCGGCTGTGGCTTTGAATCATGGCTTTTTTGGGGTCACAACCTGCTGATGTGGCGGCCAGTGCCATGGCCTGATGTTCATAGGTGAAGGCCGCATGTCGCAGCGTGTGCCACACTGGCCTCCTCAGGCGACAAACATTCGGTGGACTTTCAGCAGCAATGGCTTTTTGGTGGTAAAGAGCTGACATTTCCAAGTCTGCCGTTTCTTTCCCTTGGACTTGCTGTGTGCCACTGTGTGCGGTGCGAAAGCCTTGCCCTGTAGCAATATCTATGTGCAATCATCCCTCATCCTCCAAGCCGCAAATACTCCCAAAGCGCTTCAATCTATTCTCTCCCACTGGAACGGAAACATTCGAACTGGTTCTTGAAACGATCTGTCTTGCTGGCCAGGAAAGATCTTGCACCATACTGGACTGTTTCACAAGGCTGAGCGAAGAGAGAGTTGCATTTTTTTGGCCTTGTGGGGACTCAAAATGTCTGGCTTATACTTTGCCTTTCCATCTGCAACCAATACATACCAATACCACTTGTTCTGCCTGGACTTACCAACGTTTCAGAGCAGCTTGGGAGAGAAGGTGGCAAGTGAGTCAGGAGCCAAATAGCAGGGCTTCATCTTCTAGGGCAGAAAGTTTCAGAATAAAATGGACTTTGCCTTGGAGACTGATGAAAAATGGCTCAAGAGTGACAAGATTGGAATAATTTGAAAGACCTGGAAAGTGGTTGCAAAAAAGACTGGACACACTAGAAAAAACAGCCTTAACAGTCTTTACACCGCTTAGGACATGGGATGGCAACAACAAGCAAGAGCACGTTTACAATTGACTTTCGAAAAGAGATCCTCTTGGTCTATCAGCCTGTGTTCCCAGCCTTTACACCTGTGCATGCCGTAAGGATGGGAAGGTTAGTTGAGGCACATGAGCTACACAAATATGTCAAAAGGCTAGATGGCCTTTTACAGGTATGCATGCTTTTGGCTTGCAATATTCAGCACTTAGCGTGCACTTTGCACCGACCTTGGAAGCACACAATGCGTTCCGTCCCAATTCTGGCTTTGGATCAACCTTTGGTGAGTCGCTGAAACTGCAGAAAATGCAGGCTAACTCCTTGGTTGGAATCTTCAACATTCTAGCAGGGTAACGCTGGCAAGTCTTTGGAGATTCGCGGGCTGTCAGCATGGGCTTTCGGAGACGACCGTGAGGCCTTCTGCAAAGCTTTGTTTGAGGCACCTGCTTAAAACTATCCTTCATCTTCAAAGCTTAGCAGCTTCAAAGAGCTCTGGATCTGAATGGCACATCTCTTCCCTCTTTTCAACACGCGGATCAAACTGCAAGTTTCAGAGATGAAACTCGAGTAATTTTGACCTTTGAAACAGGATCTGCATCAAACACGCTCGAGGATCGTGATGCTCTCGAGTTGCTGTCCTGCAAGGCCACTGTAGTGTAGCCTGCGCTACGCGGATAGGCCGTGGCGGCAGCAAGGCCTGTGCAACGGGTGTCACTGGCATTGACCGTGATCCATTGGTTCATCTTAGCGCTTTGAGGGGGCACATAAATATTTCTATAATTTCTATACCTCAATCTTACTTTGCGACACCAAAGAAATGTCCAAGTCTATGTTCCAATTGCTGGTAGCGATTGGAGAGATTTTTGAAGGATGGATCCAAATGGATCGATACACCAGTTTGCAACTTCCGGCCAAAGCTCGCCCAACGACCAGTGGCAGCATCATATGTCCCGAAGGGCCCGGGTCGACCTTTTTTTGGAAGGAACCTCTATGCAGAGCCTGTGAATGTTCCGAAGGTGCAAGGAATAGATGTTTGGCAATACTTCGGCTTTTTGCAAAGCGCTTCACTGGGCAAAGTGTCTCAAAGCTTAGCAAAGCTAGGAGCTAACCTTGAGCCCTTCTGGGGATGTGCAAGCTGTGTACTGCCCACCTGAGTCTTCCAAAAACATCAGAGTTTTAAGTGTTCCTCAACTGGACTTCACAGGATGAAGCAAAGCACAGTGGCTGATTTGCTCACCTTCACTACGGGACCTGGACCTCTCATGGATCTCATACTGGGCCTGTTTTTGCCATCCAGTGGGTTGATGGTCTGCTGACCCAAGGTGTTTCAATAGTCCTGTCAGTGTCGACGACAAAGCGATTGCTGCAGTTGCTCTAGACCCGGCGCTGTGCCGAGCGGAGCAAGAGCCCCTGATCCAAACCTGGTCTGCTCGCTTCAAACTCCTGCTCCGTTCTGGGATCATTGGAAGCTGGGAGCCATCTTCAACATGCATGGCTTCGAACTTCCTCCCTTGGCTTTACCATGGCTTGTGAACCCAAGAACCCAAATAAACCTCGCCCTGCTCTCCCAGTTCCCCCACTTCGCCACAAGACCGCCTTGTCCAAAACACGTCGCGCCTCCATGGCCTCCATGGCCTTCATGGCCTTCATGGCCTCGACTGCAAGGGAGCCGACGCGAGCAAGGCGACCCTTGGTCACACTAAAAACCGCTTGGTCGTTCAGTTCCGAACTGTGACACGTGTGACACGTGTGACACGTGTGACACGTGTGACACGTGTGACACGAACCTGTCACAGCCTGTGTCAAACCGCCAATCTCATCAATCTCCCATCTCTACGTGTCCCCTCACAGATTCTGTGCACCAGATCTGCTTTGTGAAGCTGCGCAGCAACTGTTTGTCTACGCGTAAAGCCCGGCAAGCACCGGAAGGGGAAGAAGTTTGTTCGCTTTGGGATTTGCGAAGTTAGGTGTGTGAACTCCAACCCGCATTCGATGCACTGGAGCTTTCTCTGAAATGGACTGCAAGCAGTGAACCTGGCCAAGATCGATGGAGAACGAGCTAGAACATCTGACAAGAGCGGCTCGTCAAAACGGAGTGCAAGACACACCATGGGAAGTAAATCGTTCAGAGCGAAGAAGCTTTTGCAATTTGACCGCTGCGTCGAAGCTTCCAGCAAGCTCTCACGGCACGGATCTTACAGCAAGCTCTCACAGGTCGCGAAGTCAAACAGCAAAAAGCACGCAGCTTCACAGCACGCAAGGGAGGAATCAAGACTGGCAGGTCTCATTGAGCCGATTACTCATCCATCTAGCAAACTCTCGTCTACTCCGAACCATGGTTCTCGAGTCTTTGATGGATGGAATCGCGCTGGTCTTGAAGTACTCGAACCATCACAACTCCAGAACGAACGCTAGGTGGCGCTGCTGACTTTGTTGTCTGACTCTTCGCGCTTCCAAAGCTGACTGAGAACCAACAGTCATTTTTCCACAGCCACAGCCAGTGGCATCTGTTGAAGTCAGTGGTGCCGGTCAAGGCGTTCAGGGATTGCAGAATTTTGACAATCCATCTTTGAAGAGATGCTTTCAATGGCTTTCCCAGTCGGGGGCTAAGCCACAGGTCGCACAGGCTTTGGAACGCATCTGACCAATGACTTTTCTGTCCCAACACGAAGGTTGGCGCACACGCACCTAGGCACAATCATTGTGGATTTTCCACGCTGGAGCGACTTGGAAGTTCCTTTAAGTTGGCGACAATCACGACAGGTCTCAATGCTGAAAGCCCTCTTAAATCTTACGATCTGAAGCAAAGATCTTGGCTATGCTGTCCTCAAACTGGCAGAAGCTGCACAGTTGTGCATCCTTTTCGATGGCAAGCAGTGGAGCAACACAGCAGGAGACATCTTTGCAACCCGTAGTGCTTGCACCACACAGCCCAAAACCTAAGTCAGGCTTGCTCGCTTTCCTACTCTTGGAGCATGACGCACTGAATTGCTTCGCCAGTGACCTGCCTTGTAGTGGCTTGCACTGCTCAGGTGCAAGAGATGACAATGCAGCATAATGCTTTCACACATTATTCACACAATTCACAGCCCATGATTTGCGGCCGGAACGAAGAAGGGGATGGACGTCCTGGCCTGGAAGAGGAGGACGTCAGTCATGGCGTCATGGCCAGCCAAAGTTGGACTTGAGCAAGGGAGAGAAGGTGACCGCAGATTTGCAGCTTAACCGGCCTAGCTTGTACAAAGCGGCCTGACGTGATTCAAGGCTTTAAGGCCTGATCTGGAATCAGACGCGCTGCCGTTGCACCAGCCTAAGATATTTATATATCCAAAACTTTATCCCTTTTTGGGCCTTTTGGGGCTGGCTTGGAAAAGAGCACGGCAGTCTTTCACGACTTCTTGTCGAAAATGCTCCGAGCTTTTGCATAGACCTGCGGCTGATTGGCAACCGTGGACGCGATCAGCTTGCAGCACTCATCCTCTTCACGCATTAGCTGCATTGGTAGCGGGCAGCACTGATTTCAAATAAACAAACAGTTTTTTGCAAAGCCCAAAACAACGTTCTTGTCTACTTCCTTAGTCTCAAGGCCATGAGCTTTTCAGCTTTCTTCTGTACTTAAGGCCCTGGCAAAGTCAATGCAAAGGTGTCTGGATGCGATCATGCCCTGTCGCCTGCTTGCTCTAGTCTTAAATCGTTTGAGATGCTTTTCATCGTTTGTTCAAGCACTCTGTCAATTGTTCTAGCCAAAAGTTGGGAAATAAATATTCCAAGACCTGGTCACAGCAAAGCCTGTGAGAGCTGGCCCTCCTTCAAATGCAACGACGTCTTCAAGTCAGTGGACAAAGCTTCTATCACTGCCTCAAAACTTGCCTTCTCTGATTAATGGTAGCCAGAAAGACTGCACCAAGTCGCTCTTACCTCTCTGGAGTTTGTGCACTCCTTGATGACCCAGGTTGAAACATTAAGCAGAACATCTTTTGATGCCCTCCCAACGAAAGAACTGGAGAGTGGGCATGCCAATCCGTGGTCCCCCAGCTGGAGAGCATCAAGGAGACGGGCTTCGCTGACACTGCAGTGTCTCTGACACAATCGCAACTGGACTTCAGCACAACCCGGAAGGGATCTGTGGACGTCATGTCTCAAACGAACTGAAGCGGAAAAAATAAAGAGAGGAACAATCTGTTGACTTTCTATTTTGCCACATCCTTCCCAATCAAATTCAAGAGCTGCGGCTCCACTGCGAAGACTTCAACCCCAAAAGACGCAAAAAGCCGCTTACACTACATCCCTAGATTCCTTTCTTGGGTGCCCTTCTAACAATGGCTCAACCTCTACAAAGGCAGAACACGCCACACAGCATGCAGCGTCTGGACAATGCAAGCACTCTCGCGAGATTTGTTCCTCGATGAAAATTTTGTTCGCATGGATGTGAAGGAACCCCCAGAGCCGTTGGTATGGGTAAAAGGTATATCTGGCAGGTCTGTCATATCTCGTCATGTCCCAGCAGCTGCTTGCACAGGAACAACCCTTGAAGGCCACTGGATCCTGCAAAATACGTTTAATCAACTTGGCAGTAGACACTGACGGCTGCAGGCGTGAAATCCTACAAAGTCTTGCAACAAAAGTATGTGACAAGTGCAACAAGTTTGGAGGTCCGGCAATTGTTTGCGCAACGTGCACTGCTCTCATGAACTGCAAATGTACACTTTCTTGCCTCTTTGACACACGGCCGTACAAAGCAGCAGAATAGCATGGGACATCCTGTGTTGAACCCAGGCAAATATCAGATTGCGGGAGTCAACCTCCAAAGCTTTCTGCCGCAAGAACAGAGGGGGCCAAGGCTTCTGCAAATCACCTGCCACTCTCATGCCGTCGTGTCCCAGCAGCTGCTTGCGAGGGAACAACTTTTGAAGTCCATTGATTCCTTCAAGACACCAGGAGACAGCTGGGTAGTAGACCCGGTCTGCTGCACGCATAAAATCCTGCAAAGTCTTGTCACAAAAGTATGTGACAAGTGCAACAGGTTTGGAGGCCCGGCAATTGTTTGCGCAACGTGCACTGCTCTCATGAACTGCAAATGTACACTTTCTTGCCTCTTTGACACACGGCCGTACAAAGCAGCAGAATAGCATGGGACATCCTGTGTTGAACCCAGGCAAATATCAGATTGCGGGAGTCAACCTCCAAAGCTTTCTGCCGCAAGAACAGAGGGGGCCAAGGCTTCTGCAAATCACCTGCCACTCTCATGCCGTCGTGTCCCAGCAGCTGCTTGCGAGGGAACAACTTTTGAAGGCCATTGCTTCCTTCAAGACACCATGAGACAGCTGGGTAGTAGACCCGGTCTGCTGCACGCATAAAATCCTGCAAAGTCTTGCCACAAAAGTATGCGACAAGTGCAACAGGTTTGGAGGCCCGGCAATTGTTTGCGCAACGTGCACTGCTCTCATGAACTGCAAATGTACACTTTCTTGCCTCTTTGACACAAGGCCATACAAAGCAGCAGAATAGCATGGGACATCCTGTGTTGAACCCAGGCAAACATCATATTACGGGAGTCAACCTCCAGAGCTTTCTGCTGCAAGAACAGAGTGGGAAGCTGATGCTTTTCCAAATCACATGCTGTGCCTATCTTTTGGCGGTCAACTACCCACAGCTGCGCCATCTTGCCATTCTTCAAGAATCAAAAATCATAGCAGGCTGGGTGGAATCAGTAAAAACCGGGAGTGGGAGAATGCTTTGGGAGACTCGCTGTCCTCATCTCGTACCGCGAAGCGCAAGACAAATCTCTCTGCATTTTGTGCTCTCCTTGATGACCCAGGTTGAAACATTAAGCCGAACTTCTTTTGATGCCCTCCCAACGAAAGAGCTGGAGAGTGGGCATGCCAATCCGTGGTCCCCCAGCTGGAGAGCATCAAGGGTATGGACTTCGCTGACACTGCGGTGTCTCTGACACAATCGCAACTGGACTTCAGCACAACCCGGAAGGGATCTGTGGACGTCATGTCTCAAACGAACTGAAGCGGAAAAAATAAAGAGAGGGACAATCGGTTGACTTTGTCTTCTGCCACATCCTTCGCAATCAAATGAAAGGAACTTACGCTTCAAATTCAAGATCTGCGGCTCCAGTGCAACGACTTCAACTCCAAAAGACGCATAAAACGGTTCACACTACATCCCTAGATTCCTTTCTTGGGTGCCCTTCCAATAATGGCTCAACCTCTACAAAGGCAGAACACACCACACAGCATGCAGCGTCTGGACAATACAAGCACTCTTGCGAGATTTGTTCCTCGATGAAAAAATTGTGCGCGCGGATGTGAAGGAACCCCCAGAGCCGTTGGTATGGGTAAAAGGTATATCTGGCAGGTCTGTCATATCTCGTCATGTCCCAGCAGCTGCTTGCAAAGGAACAACCCTTGAAGGCCGCTGGTTCCTGCAAAACACGTTTGGCAGTAGACACTGACGGCTGCAGGCGTGAAATCCTACAAAGTCTTGCCACAAAAGTATGTGACAAGTGCAACAGGTTTGGAGGCCCGGCAATTGTTTGCGCAACGTGCACTGCTCTCATGAACTGCAAATATACACTTTCTTGCTCCTTAAAAGCGGATGCAGCAGTTAAAAGCGTTTGGCAGGACAACCCAACCGTGCTTTGTCTCTCATTCAAAGGGAATCTGAAATCTTTTTGCGATCTGCCCCCCAGGACACGTCCGTCTTCGGTTTCGATATCCAGGTGCTAAATTCGTAAAGGCCAGCGACTATGCTGCGTGCGTCGTCTGCAGTGTGAGCTGGCTGTAGATTTGTAGAAATCTAGAAGTCACTGTGACTGGAGTGTCATCTTTGAGCCATGACCCACCAAAACACTGTTGCAGGGACATGAGGAAAAGTATCGGCGCGTTCCCCTCTGAACAACCGGAAGGAATGTCTTGGCAGCAGTAGTTGAAAACAGCAACGTTGAAAAACTCAGGCATGACCACCTGCAAAAGATGATGACATCGGCCATGCCAAGAGATGAAGTTCTATGCAAGGTTTGCCCACTACAGGTATATGGCCGATCCGTTCTTGCTCTACCATGCATCATCTGCTGAGAGACTGCTCAATCTAGTAGCACTTCCACCAGTTCGTATCTGCACCGGCGCTCTTGTGTTGTGCAATATCGGGGATCTGCTTTGTGGATACTTTGGCTCGAACTTTGCACATCTGAAGGAATGGGACAGACCGCTCATGATGAGATTGAATCTGCCCTTTTGTCTGCATTTCGTCAATTCCCAGCAAGACCACAGCCAGCTTAGGAGCAAACCCATTTCCTCTGCTCTGAGCTGCAAAAATATGTCGTCCCACCAGCTGATATAACATGTCCGTTAGCTTTCGCTTCAAAAATGAAAGTGCAGGCGACCCTTTAGCCTTATTCTTGGTATGCGTCATCCTATTTCAAGGTTACAGCACACCCAAACCTCTGTATTGGGCATTCATGAGAGAGCGCTGCCACATTCAGGCGGAGAAGCAAATTCTCACTTTCTTTGATGCAGTCCAAGAGGCAGGTGCCTTAAGCTGCTTCATCTGCAGAGCCTAGGTGCAAATCGGCAGCCACAGTTCTTGTCATATGCAGTCATGCCGTATCGGCACTCTGCGACAGGATTTTCACATCGCGAAAGCATCTGCCTGACCATGTTCGCGGGCTACATTTGAATAGGAAACTGACAAGTTCATTTGCTTTGACTCATGCGTTGGCGTGCTGTTAGTGTAATGTGCGCTGTCATTGGCTGTGTGTTGGTCCTTGCAACGTTTCCAACAAAAGGCTTCCCTACAAATGTCAATGCTGAAGGGATCCAGCAGTTAAAAGCTTTTGGCAGGACAACCCAATCGTGCTTTGTCTCTCGTTCAAAGGGAATCCTGAAATCTTTTTGCGATCTGCTCCCCAGGACATGTCCGTCTTCGGTTTCGATATCCAGGTGCTCAGTTCGTAAAGGCCAGCGACTATGCTGCGTGCGTCGTCTGCAGTCTGAGCTGGCTGTAGATTTGTAGAAATCTAGAAGTCACTGTGACTGGAGTCTCATCTTTGAGCCATGACCCACCAAAACACTGTTGCAGGGACATGAGGAAAAGTATCGGCGCGTTCCCCTCTGAACAACCGGAAGGAATGTCTTGGCAGCAGTAGTTGAAAACAGCAACGTTGAGAAACTCAGGCATGACCACCTGCAAAAGATGATGACATCGGCCATGCCAAGAGATGAAGTTCTATGCAAGGTTTGCCCACTACAGGTATATGGCCGATCCGTTCTTGCTCTACCATGCATCATCTGCTGAGAGACTGCTCAATCTAGTAGCACTTCCACCAGTTCGTATCTGCACCGGCGCTCTTGTGTTGTGCAATATCGGGGATCTGCTTTGTGGATATTTTGGCTCGAACTTTGCACATCTGAAGGAATGGGACAGACCGCTCATGATGAGATTGAATCTGCCCTTTTGTCTGCATTTCGTCAATTCCCAGCAAGGCCACAGCCAGCTTAGGAGCAAACCCATTTCCTCTGCTCTGAGCTGCAAAAATATGTCGTCCCACCAGCTGATATAACATGTCCGTTAGCTTTCGCTTCAAAAATGAAAGTGCAGGCGACCCTTTAGCCTTATTCTTGGTATGCGTCATCCTATTTCAAGGTTGCAGCACACCCAAACCTCTGTATTGGGCATTCATGAGAGAGCGCTGCCACATTCAGGCGGAGAAGCAAATTCTCACTTTCTTTGATGCAGTCCAAGAGGCAGGTGCCTTAAGCTGCTTCATCTGCAGAGCCTAGGTGCAAATCGGCAGCCACAGTTCGTCATATGCAGTCATGCCGTATCGGCACTCTGCGACAGGATTTTCACATCACGAAAGCATCTGCCTGATCATGTTCGCGGGATACATAGGAATAGGAAACTGACAAGTTCATTTGCTTTGACTCATACGTCGGCGTGCTGCCAGTATGGCTTCAAGCCAGGTTTCCCGTTGAGGCTTTTGCCACTCTGTTTGGTTCCGTAAAGTGCAATTCCTTGAGACACAGGCTCTGGGCTGGTGCTAATTTCGCACTGCTGGCATGAGCAGCAAGCATGTGCATTCACCGCAGCTTTGAATATTGAGCAGCCTGTGGAGTCACCAGGAAGAAACGCGGAGCACGCCGCAAGCCAGGAGTTCACTACTACATAACGAATACGCAACTTGGCAAACACTCAAACTTTTGTACGCGAGCCACGTTTTCACTTTCTCTGGACATCCCAAGATTACTCAGGTGGCCCCCGAGGAGGTGTTCAGCTCGTCCTCCGACTATGCCATCTAATGATACCTGGGGAATGTGTAATGTGCGCTGGGTGCTGGTCCTTGCAACGTTTCCAACAAAAGGCTACCCTACCAATGTCAATGCTGAAGGGCGGCAGCAGTTAAAGGCGCTTGGCAATTCCTTGAGACACAGGCCCTGGCTGGTGCTAATTTCGAACTGCTGGCATGAGCAGCAAGCATGTGCATTCACCGCAGCTTTGAATATTGAGCAGCCTGTGGAGTCACCAGGAAGAAACGCGGAGCACGCCGCAAGCCAGGAGTTCACTACTACATAACGAATACGCAACTTGGCAAACACTCAAACTTTTGTACGCGAGCCACGTTTTCACTTTCTCTGGACATCCCAAGATTACTCAGGTGGCCCCCGAGGAGGTGTTCAGCTCGTCCTCCGACTACGCCATCTAAAGATACCTGGGGAATGTGTCATGTGCGCTGGGTGCTGGTCCTTGCAACGTTTCCAACAAAAGCCTACCCTACCAATGTCAATGCTGAAGGGCGGCAGCACTTAAAAGCCAATTCCTTGAGACACAGGCCCTGGCTGGTGCTAATTTCGAACTGCTGGCATGAGCAGCAAGCATGTGCATTCACCGCAGCTTTGCATATTGAGCAGCCTGTGGAGTCACCAGGAAGAAACGCCGAGCACGCCGCAAACCAAAAAATTCACTGCTACAGAACGAATACGCAACTTGGCAAACACTCAAACTTTTGTACGCGAGCCACGTTTTCACTTTCTCTGGACATCCCAAGATTACTCAGGTGGCCCCCCAGAAGGTGTTCTGCTCGTCCTTCGACTACGCCATCTAAAGATACCTGGGGAATGTGTAATGTGCGCTGTGTGTTGGTCCTTGCAACGTTTCCAACAAAAGGCTTCCCTACAAATGTCAATGCTGAAGGGATGCAGCAGTTAAAAGCGTTTGGCAGGACAACCCAATCGTGCTTTGTCTCTCGTTCAAAGGGAATCCTGAACTCATTTTGCGATCTGCTCCCCAGGACATGTCCGTCTTCGGTTTCGATATCCAGGTGCTCAGTTCGTAAAGGCCAGCGACTATGCTGCGTGCGTCGTCTGCAGTCTGAGCTGGCTGTAGATTTGTAGAAATCTAGAAGTCACTGTGACTGGAGTGTCATCTTTGAGCCATGACCCACCAAAACACTGTTGCAGGGACATGAGGAAAAGTATCGGCGCGTTCCCCTCTGAACAACCGGAAGGAATGTCTTGTCAGCAGTAGTTGAAAACAGCAACGTTGAAAACCTCAGGCACGACCATCTGCAAGAGCTTGGGCAAAGTTCTTTCAGTCTTTCAAGGACATCCGGTCGAAGCGAATCACCAGTACGAAGTCCAAGACAAAATTTGAGGAGAGAGGTTCAGGGTCAGGAGAAGCGTAAAGACCACCGCTCAGGCTTGACAAGAAGCCTGTAGTCGCATATCCAAGAGCATGTCAGCCAAGAGGAATCGTCAACCAGAATGACTTCTCAAAATAGTCTGAAAGTTTCTTGTATCCTCTCCATAGAACCTCGTCTCCCATGCTTTGACAGGAACGGCATATCATCAATTTCCGAAAATCTCCCCGCATTGGCTATTGGTCAGGAGCTGGCTGCAATTTGAGCACGCAGCTGACAAGCTGCGTCAGAGTTGTCCGAAATCGACCTTGAAAGTTTCGGGTTGTGAATATCAAAACCTGAGACTGCAAAGGCATC